TCCAAGCTCCTTGCTTTCTATAGACCCTGCAAGGAAACCTGTTATTTTATCAACGGAATAAGGTTGAGTGATGCCAGCCACCTAAACCAATTTGGAACCAGCAGTTGAGATTATTACCAGAAAAATCAATGGAAGTTGTGAGAACCCCCCAGGATGCTGGCACCTACAAAGCTCACATGAAGACTGACCCCGAGCCCTCAATCCAAGGTGGGTCAGGGGTACCCAAGTATGAAGCTGCTGGAAAAGACATCAAGTCCAGATGAGGCACACATTAAACACAGGACAGCTAGGCTGATGATTCAGAAAGAAACAGGAAGTACAAAAGGAAGGAAGAGAAAGTTCCTTCCTGAGTGCAGGGAGCTGGTCAGAGACAATATCTATGGCAACTGCCCAGAACTTCTCTCTATTGGGCTTTGAAGTCGGCCTGTCTCTTGTAGTGATAGGGCGACCCCATACTTCTATTTTGTTCTGATGAGCCAGTGGGTTGGAAGCCTCTGAACATGGACCAGATGCCCCCTGACCTGCCGCAGTGATACGGAGGCCACTTGGGAGGGCAGGTGGCTGAGAGTGTGCACTTAAAGGGAGACCACCTCGAGTTAAACCCAGGCTCCAGGACATGTCACTGAGTGACACTGGGCAAGCCCTTTAATGACTCAGAACTTTAATTTCCTCACCTGTCAAATGACATCCCAGGATGTTTGTGGTTTTTTGTTTGGTTTGGACTGGTACTGGGGAGCAAATCCAGGAATACTTAACCACGGAGCCACATTCCCAGCCCTTTTTTAAATGTATTTTATTTAAAGACAGAGTCTCGCTGAGCTGCTTAGTGCCTCACTAAGTCGCTGAGGCTGGTTTTGAACTTACAATCCTCCTGCCTCAGCCTCCAGAGTGGCTGGGATTACAGGTGTGAGCCACCACACCCGGTCCAGGATGGTTGTGAAGGTTAATCAGGATAATAGATGTGAGATTCCTAGCCAGGTGTTGGGCACATCACCAATGCTACATCAATGTCATACGTTGCTGGCTTTAAAGGGAAGGGAGTCATATTAACTGTGTCATGCATAACTCATCTGTCTCTGAGGTTAAGAGGGACACAGAATTTGAAAAGAAGACAGGGAGAGACAGGCAGGCACATGTAGGAAGAAAGTATACACAGAGAGAAATTTTAGGGCAGACCAAAGAAATAAAAATTGTCTAAGACTGAGGGGGGGAAAAAAAGCCCCAAGTGCTGCGTGAGGGAGTTGAGTTAGATTTATGGAAGAAATTTCCTGGCAGTGAGAGGTATCAAATGTTACTAGGCAAACAGTTTTCTCATCTCGTGGAGTTGTCTGGTCAGCCATTCCTAGAGCCAAAGAGTTAGACAGGATGCCAGGAACACAGCCCCAGGAGTCTCTGGTTCTCAGTTCTCAGAATCAGAGGCAGCAAAGCATGTGGGTATAGGATCCAGCTGCCCCTAAAAGCTGTTTTTGGCCAAAGTCCTCAGATGTATCTGATTTGTTAGGCTCTCTTGTCCTGCTGCCATGCAGTGCTGACACAAGGGAACAATAATGTCAGCACTCTTGACCTTTCTTCCTGTGGGACACAATCTGGAGCCATTTTTCACTGGACCTTTAACATCAATATGGCTGAGGCAGCAGCAGCATCTGATGTCCCCTGGCTGACCGTGTGCCCCCAGAGACCCATGAGCCCTCTCTAAGCCACAGCTTTTGAGAGAGCAGGAGGGGACCAGTTGTCCTTGGGTGGAGGTCAGATGGGCCCATGTGGGAGGCTCTTCCTGAGTCCATGCAGACGTGAGCTATAGCATCTGGAAGATTCTGAGATTGGTCAGGTTTTAGGTGAGACCCCACTCCCAAGATCAGGAAGAGGGCTGGGAGGGCTGGGGATGTGGCTCAACTGATAGCGGGCTCGCCTCGCATTCGTGCGGCCCAGGTTCGATCCTCAGCACCACATACCAACAAAGATGTTGTGTCTGCCGAGAACTAAAAAATAAATATTAACAAAATTCCCTCTCTCTTGCGCACGCACTCTCTCTCTCTCTCTTTAAAAAAAAAAAAAAGATCAGGAAGAGTAACAGGAGCGTTGTGAGGACAGATGTGCTCTCGAAGGATCCATGCTTCCATGGAGAGACACTCACCTGCCACCACTCGCAATTTCATACAGTAATTTACATTTGTCTTGGTGATCACTGGCACCTGTGTCTACTCTGGGAAAGAAAAATAAGTACCCTGGGCTGGGAACAGTAGTTCCCAAAGCCACCAACTGGATCATCATTCCTAAATTTTCATGTCAGTTCCTCCTGTTGCAACTGACCACATTTCTTTGTAACGTTCCCTTTAGCACCAGCCTTCTTGATCCTAAGGATCCCATGTGTCACCCTGGCTCTTCGGCAAGCTTTCCATGCCCTTCAGAATCCAGCTCAGATGCCGTTGTGGGCCTGAGGTTACCTAACACCCACAAGGAGAGACGGAAGCTTAGCTGAGACCATGAGAGGAGTAAAGCCTAGTGGAAGAGTCCCACCAAAGCAGCTCAATAAGATCTTTCCCCCTCACCTCCTTTGCCATCAAATTTTGGTTTTCTTTGGTTTGGGTAAGGAAGATATTCCAAAAATTGCCTGTCAGAAGTAAGGATAAGCGGGGTCACCCTTCAGCTTTAGACAGAGTGGCAATTTAGCATAGGAGCATGAGTTTTGATGCTAAATATCCAGAATATAACAAGCTTGTGACTGCAGGCAAGTCTGTTGACTTCCATTTCTTCTGATAAAAGATGGGGGTAATGCCCCCACGTTTATAGCGAGGTTCCACATGATGCTGGCGCAGATGGAGTCGTCGGCACCGTTGACCCCTAATAAATGCTTACCAAGTGGTGGCCCTGATTTTTACCTCTGATTTTTTAGGGTGTTCTTTCTTTTCCTTTGAACTTTGGCCTACTTCCCAGTAGTGTCTCCGTCCCTGAGATAGTTCTGTGTTGCTAGCCCACATCCTACAGGGCGGTGTCGTGAGAGCCTTTTTATAGTCACAGCTGTAGTGTCATGGCACCCAAAGTGGGACTCTGTGCTGGTCTCCCTCCTCCCCATCCTCACTGCTTCGCTGGTCATGCGTGTTTGTGGTGCCTTCTGCTCTGGTGTGATTAAGTGTCCACCGAGCCACAGATTGGTTTCTGCATAGGGTCCCCGCATGGAATGAGTATAACGACTGAGCTGGGCATCTTCCACATCCTCACAGGGCTCTCGGCTCCCACCTGATCTGAAAGCCTCCTGCCCTGCCATGTCCTCCTCGTGGTGCCCTTGACCTTGTGTTGCCTTGACTTGTGTTGGTGACTTTGTAATGATGGGTGGGAGGAAGCTGCTGTTTTGGGGTCGGCTTCCTTGGTGCTGAGAGCTGGATGCTACCAGAGCTGTAGATGTAGATGGTAACCCATTAACCACATAATGGATTAACCCCTCAATAGCCACGGTTGTGTTTGTGTGTGCTGGTGGGACAGAGGAAGGCACCTACAGAAAGAGAAAGAATGTTCGGGGTACATCGTCTCCTTTTTTTTTTATTCCCTTCACCCCCTTTAATTCACTCATTCTGAAACATTTAATGAGCATTTGTTATGTGCTGTGTTTGTGCCAGCAGCCTCAGTACCTCAGGATATGTGTCATCCTTTTTTCCCTTGACAGAAAGATAAATTAAAAGCCAACCCTACAAGATTCACTCCCCAGTGGCTAATGGAGAGAAGCTGAACACTTCCAGGACAGGAAGCCCCCTGGTCCAGCCAGGCAATGGCTACCCTGGAAAGCTCCATTAGGAAGCACCAATTATACAGAGACAGAGGCGCCCGCCATCTATCCTCACTCTGCCAGTGCCAATTAAGCCCCAGGATGGATGCCTTTGTTCTCAGTCCAGGCATCTCTGGGGGCTCCCAGCTCTGGGCAGCTCTGCCGTCCCCCCACCTCCCACTTCCCAAACAAGCCTAAGATCCATTCAACCCAGGTGCAGGCTCAGCTTATAGCTCCTTTATAATCACACACCTTGGGGCAGAGGGTCCCTCCTCCCGTGTCCCTTTTGCCTTGGGGCTGCCTGATTGGGAAATCCTTGCTCTTTTCTCTCCATCTTACCCATCTCCAGAGAACCGCACAAAGAGCTGTGGGGGAGGGGCAAGGGCGCAGGTCAGATGGGGCCCACTCTGTGGATGCACCCACGCCAGCCTGACCCCTTCCACAGGGAAACCAGCTTCCTGATAATGTCAATCTGTGAGCCACGTGGCCTTTAAAATGTGCGTGAATTTCGTTGATTTCAGACCCCTGGCTGTCCCAGCCTAGTTGTCCATTCAGGCTGCCTCTCCCCCTCCCCCCAGTATCTCACGTGCAATTAACACCCCCCCCAAAGCCCCCTTCCAAAGTCATTAGTGGGGAGGCAGAATGGTGTTGGCCTCAGAGTGATCTCCTGTCATCTCTGCTCATTAATTCTCTCCATGTCCTTGCTAAGCCATTAATAACCCCTCCCTGCATGTCTGACTGTTTATCTGGGGCTTTGTGGCTTCGTCCCAGCTCCTTGTCTTCAGGGTCCCAGAGAGCAGTGTGTCTGTCCTGTGGCCCCAGTTCATGCCTCCTCTTTCTCCCACCTCCCAGTCTGGGGAGGAAGGACTACTGCTGAGATGGCCTGCCCTGGGGGCTACCCGCAGTGGCCTCTGGGATTTCAACACAAGATGCTCCAGGAGTGGACCTCTCGCTGTTCAGTCAGCCCCCTCCCCAGGGAAGGGGAGGTTTCCTGGGCTGGGGAAGATGGGCTCCTCTTGGCAGATCCTTTCAGAACTTAGAGCTGGTCACACAGTGTGCTGGTGGGGCTGAGGAGCCAGAGCTTCCTAACCTCTCAGTGATGCCCTGGTCCTTGGGGTGGTTTGGGCGGGGAGGATCCAGCAGGGGGTGTGGTGACATTTCTCTAGCCCGACAGCTTTGGCCAAGCCAGGTCAGCCCTCTGGGCAGAAGGCTCACAGGAGCTTGTTCCATCCTGTTTCAGCCCGAGGAGTTGCAGAGAGAACACCCAGCTTCATGTATCCCCAGGGTACCTCGAGCAGTCAGATGGTGCTCCGCGGCATGGACCTCCTGCTAGAGTGCATCGCTTCTGGGGTGTACGTACACTTGGCACCCCGCTTCCAGCCACCTTCTGGAGGATGGGACGGGAGTCTGTCCATGTTCTCTTCTTGCCTCTGTGGGGGACATACCATTAGTGTAGCGAAAGTGGGGACAAACAGTGAGCAGAGCTTGACAGATCGTAGTCACTCCATCTGTGTAGTCATTCTGCCATCCCTGTTTCGGAAAAGGAGATGGTCAGGCATCCCACGTGTGCTTTAAGATTTCAGCTAAGTCCCTTGAGCTCTCAGGAACATTGCATCCTCCTCTGAATGGGAAGGATCAGCTCTTAGTGGACATGTACCCTCCTTTTAGGACACCAGTTGTTCCAGGCTCTCTGGAAGGCGAGGGTCATGTTTAATGACGATTTCTCTATTTCTTGCTTGGTTCCTTTACTAGCCCAACACCAGACATCGCGTGGTACAAGAAAGGTGGGGACCTCCCATCTGACAAGGCCAAGTTTGAGAACTTTAACAAGGCTCTGCGTATCACCAATGTGTCCGAGGAAGACTCTGGGGAGTATTTCTGCCTGGCCTCCAACAAGATGGGCAGCATCCGGCACACGATCTCGGTGAGAGTGAAGGGTACGTTGTGTGTATTTCTCATTATGATTATTTTGCCAACCCTGAACACCATGACCACCCTTCCCTCTGAGGGTGGTTGCGGGGGTGGGGCAGGGTGAGTGGGGAACCGTCAGTGCACTGGTTAGTGGCAATTGTGACCTGCCACAGGAGTTGCCATTCCCTGGATGTGGGGCTTGTCTGCATGCATAGTGCTTGTGTGTGTGTGTGCACATGTGTGCATGCACGCATGTGCAGTGGGGGTTGAGGGAAGGGGATCCACCTGGACCATCACCAACTCTCCCTGGCGCCAGGGCTCCCTCAGCAGGTGACTTTCCTCCCATGGCCCATTTGGATCATTCCTAGAGCCTTTTCTTTCTTTCGTTTTGCATTCCCGTTTGTGATGTGTCGTCTTAGCCTGTGCTTGTCTGTGTATCTGTGCATAATGCTGTGCTTCTTTTTAAGAAGGGAGAGTCACATTGTAGTCAAAATTATTATTTTTATTTTAAATCGCTTCCCTCTCCTAAAAACAGAGATGGCCTGCCTGAGCTATTGCAGGCAGTAGAGCACCTGTCTTCATGGAGCCCAGCCATGGGCGGTGGGCTGCAGGAGTCAGTTCTCAGCCCTGGGCTGCATGGATGATTGGAATGATGAGATCGGAGGCCAGAGAACAAGACCTTTCTTAGCACACAGTTAGTGGATCTCATGACTCTGGCTTGGCTTCAGTCCCACAAACAGACTAGGAGGTTGTTAGCATGGGGGAGTGGGGAGGATGAAAAGATCTTTGAGAATCTAATGCAAAGATCCTCTTGCTCACAAAAATCCACACATGCCCTCATTCTCAAAATTGTCCAAACAATTGAAAGGGGTGGCCAACTACTCAGAACTGCTCTCACCAAAGTGCAGTGCCTGAAAGAACACAAGGCCTTTCCTAAACGGTCTTACTTGGCATCAACAGAAATACAGAGGGACAAATGCAGGGCAGTGGATCGAACCCTTGGGTGCACATCATAAATATGAGTGATCTCTAAAAGCATTGCCACTTGAGCCTCCCCTGAGGAATATGGTCTGGTAGCCTAAAATGAACCCCAGCAGCCATTAGATTGTCCTGATGGGTTTTTAAAAGTGCTCCAGGGATTCTCATGAGAAGTACTATTCTGTGAACTCCTATAGATGAATTGGCTGGTGCAGCCAAGCCCACCACATGCAGGCTGGGCCACGCCACTGCAGTCATAGTGCACCTGGGGCAGGTGGTGCAGCCCTGCAGCTGGGCCTCCAGCTCCTGCCTTCCTTCAGGGCTCCCACCTGGTGTCTCCTGCCTGCCCCTGCCGGCTAACTCCCCCTGCCTGTGCCCGCCTTGTCTTCCAGCTGCTCCCTACTGGCTGGATGAACCCAAGAACCTGATCCTGGCTCCTGGTGAGGATGGGAGGCTGGTGTGTCGAGCCAATGGGAACCCCAAGCCCACTGTCCAGTGGATGGTGAACGGGGAACCTTTGCAAAGTGAGTAGCAAGTTAGTGCGCGCCCAGTGCTCCTGCCTGGCCTGTCCGAGGTTCCAGAGCCCCCTCCCTGCAGGCCAGCCCGGATGCTGTAGAAGTGGAGGGAAAGAGTAATCCATTGGCTGTCCCTGCAGCCTGTTTGGACATCTGGAGAGGCAAAAAACCTGCCTTATCTGTTTACAAGAGAGAACGGGAGCCCCATGATTATTTCCCATGTTTAGGGGATTTCATGGGTTTTTCTTAAATTTTTGCTTTCTGCCCCATATCCACTACAGGGTCCCAGTTAGGGTTTGGGAACTGCAGCTTCATCTCTGAAGGTTCAGCTGTGAGTGACATCCAGGACATGGAACATAGAGGGGAGTCCAGGAGCCCCTTGTCATTGGTTAATCAAGTCCCATCTCTGATAAGGGCAAAATAAGAAGCAAGGTATATGAAAATGTGAAAGACTATGTTGGATATGAGGAAGAACTTTCCCCAGTGACAGGAGAGTTACACAGATGCAGTTACTGAGTAGGCATAAACTTTGGGAAATTTTAGTCCTACTGAGATGGGCAGAGCGGGAACTCCAGGGTCCCTTCCAGCTGGTCATCTTGGTCATATTTGCACATCATATTCTCTTCAGTTGGTTTTCCTTTTTTCTGTGTGTGGGGGGGAGTACTGGGGATTAAGCTCAGAGGCACTCAACCACTGAGCCACCTCCCCAGCCCTATTGCATGTTTTATTGAGAGGGTCTCACTGAGTTGCTTAGCACCTTGCTTTTGCAGAGGCTGGCTTTGAACTCGCGGTCCTCCTGCCTCAGCCTCCCGAGCTGCTGGGATTACAGGCATGCACCACCACACCTGGCCAGTTGCTTTTACTTTTTTAAAAATATCCAGTCATTGCTTTCTGTAAGGAGTCAGAGGAAACTAAAGCAGTGATAGCAACCAGGTGGGGCTGAGAACTCCGAATCTGACTCGGGAGCAGCAGCTGACAGGAGCAGGGGGAGAGGCAGAGGGGACAGGTGGACAGGCGAGCTGAACCCCTGTAGACATTGTGTGTCTGGGCTGGGTGCTGCACCCTCTTATCTCTTTTCATTTCACACATTAAAGGTGAGGAATCAAGGTTCTGGTTGGTGCAGGGAAGGATCCCGGATCGCTAGGCTAGTCAGCGGGGAAGCTGTGGGTTCCCATGAGGCTGTACCCCTGCACCAGCCTAAGAAGTCTCATTGCCCTGGTCGCAAGCAAAGACGGACACAGCCTGTCCCCCATGGCCCTCTCTGTCCTTAAAGCATTTGAGGGCAAGACAGGCAGTGACACTAGGTTCCACAGCACTATTATATAAATGCAGCCCAAGACTGCCCCAAAAACGTCACCTTTCACCCTCTCCAGGGAGTTCCCAAGAGGAGTGACTGGGAAGAGAGTTGGCTTCCTGAGAATGGCCTGCAAAGAGGCATTCGGGTTCTGGCATGGCCTCCCTTGGTGCCCATTTGCTGAGTGGGGCTGGGACTGGCTCATAAGGATGCTGACCTTGTCTTTATTTACCTTCTGCTGATTCCCCAGCTCTGGGCCCAGACTCGCTGTCTGTGGAGTGGCGCCCCTGGGGCCAGACTCCTACAGCCTCCTCTGCCTGCTTCCCTTGTAGATCTCAGTGGTCCTGAATGAGCTCATGGATTCTGCAAGCCAAGTCATTGCTCTCTAGTCCAGAAAGCTCTAGTGGTTAAAGATCAGAAAGGTGTCACGGTGGTGCATGCCTGTGACCCCAGCTACTTGGGAGGCTGAGGCAGGAGGATCGAAAGTTCAAAAGTAGCCTGGGCAACTTAGCACGGCCCTATCTCAATATGGAATTTTAAAAGGGGCTGGGGACATAGCTCAGTGCTTACCTAACATGTGTAAGGTTCTGGGTTTCCCCAGTACCAAAGAGAGAGAGAGAGAGAAATGGCCATTATTTACATTCCTAGAAAACTTTCACTTTTATAGCTGATTTTTATTCTTTTTTATCTTATTCTTCTTTAAAGTAGGGGAATGATGGGAGTAATGCTTAGTTCATTTTAGAAGTAAGGGAAATGAGGCCCAGAAACATTTGTTGATTTGTCCAGGCCCCAGAGCCATTGTCAACAGGATCAAGACCACAGCTACTCCCCAGCCTCTGCTCTCTGCACCCCAAGCCAGCAAAATCTGGAGAACTGTGGGCAGGAACGTACTGTGTCTGGGAAGACCTGGGGCCTTTGCAAACAGAAAGACTTTCAGTTTGCTGATGGGTTTAACTTTGTGCGTGTTTGGAGATGCCCCTCTTAGGGGATGGGAAGTGGTAGTTCCTGTCCATTTGTGAATGGCTTTATCCTTTTCAAAACATACCTAAGTATATGTGTGTTGAAATTAAATGATAACAGCAATAATAATAATCAGCATTGCTGGAGCGCTGCTTCTTTATACACATATACATCTCAGGCTACCTTCACAAAAACCCGCCAGGCAATGTGTTATTTCCATACTGCAGACCAGAAAACTGAACATGAAAGGGTTGGAGTGTGAGTTCTGTTCCCAAAGCTTATATTCTCCAGCACACCTGCCCAGCTGTTATTTGGGTTAAGCAGGGCTATGTATTACCGCTGGATGGATTGAGAAGCCTCTATAGGAGAGTCAAGGTCACAGGGCTCAGCCATGATGAGGTCAGAAGCCATGTCTTCTTAGTCCCATCCAGGGATCCCTCTTCCACGTCACCCCAGTGATGCTCAGAAGCCCTGGACAGACTCCCAGTGCCCTTGCTCCACCCATTTCCAAATCTCACGAGGAGCATCTCTGTCTTATCTGTAGCGGCACCACCCAACCCAAACCGAGAAGTGGCAGGTGACACCATCATCTTCCGAGACACCCAGATCAGCAGCAGGGCCGTGTACCAGTGCAACACCTCCAACGAGCACGGCTACCTCCTGGCCAATGCCTTCGTCAGTGTGCTGGGTGAGCTGTCCCCACCTCTGCTCACCCACGTGGAGGCTCCCTGGGGCCTGGTCATGTCATGGGGTGCACTTTTTTCTGGAGATCAGCCAGGCTGGGCAGGGTAAGAGGATGAGGGGTGGGGGAAGCATGCACTCCACAGAGCTGGACAGGAGCAGTTAATTCATCAAAGAAGTCAGTGTTGATCCCCCCCATTCCCTGGATGGGGGAGGGTGAGTCTGTGAGTTCCCCTTGGGTCCCAGCTGGGACGTGGTTCTGAGAATGTTTGCTGCACCCCCAGTGGGAAGAGGGCAGTGGAAATGGGGAGCTTCCAGGTGCCTCAGGGCTGCAGAGGGGCAGCTGCAGATCCTACTGAATAACTCAAGGAAACTTCGCAGAAACTGGTCAAGCTGTAGGGTCGACGAGTGTGGCAGGTGTATTAGCTTACTCCCTCCTCACCTAATCCTTAGAGGCTTCTAGAAGCCTCTAGAAGGAGGAGATGTTGATAGAGGAAAGTGTCGTGAGTTCCTCGAAAGCTGCTGTAAGGAGAAGGCACGTAGAGATGGGACCAAGGAAGGAGTGGAAGAGTGGGGCTCCACACCCAAGATCGGTTCTCTGGGAATTTCAGATGTCCCACCTCGGATGCTGTCACCCCGGAACCAGTTCATTAGAGTTATTCTTTACAACCGGACACGGCTGGACTGCCCGTTCTTTGGGTCTCCCATTCCCACACTGCGATGGTAAGTCCCAGGAGACCTCTGCAGCAGAGGTCATCTCTCTCACCTTTCTGAGTCCCCTCCAGCCCATACTAGGTATTCAGCAAGACCTAGGAAACTTAAAGGGTCAAAGCTGGGAGGAACATGGCAGGTCATCTGGTCTGGGTCAACCCACTTCTTTTATAGAGAAGGAGCCCAAGGCCCAGAGAGGGGCCGAGAGTTTCCAGGGCTGCCAGGCAATGGGAAGCAGACCCTGCAAGGCTTTGGGCCCAGGCTCCTAGCCTGGGGCTCCCTCCGCTGCCACCGCCATCTCTCCCAGCTGGTGGCTGCCCTGCTCCCCCGGCCGGTCCCTTCTCAGATGCTCTGTTCCGCTGCTCTGTTGTGAGGTTTAAGAATGGGCAAGGAAGCAACCTGGATGGTGGCAATTACCATGTCTATGAGAATGGCAGTCTGGAAATTAAGATGATCCGCAAAGAGGACCAAGGCATCTACACCTGTGTGGCCACCAACATCCTGGGCAAAGCGGAAAACCAAGTCCGCCTGGAGGTCAAAGGTAAAGAGTTAGTAGGGAGGGGCTCGGAGTGAGGAGGAAAAGCTGTGCTCACGGTTACCCGCATGTGGTGTTTCAGCCCGAGCGGGCTCCTCAGCGCACCTCTGCACGCCCTCTCCTGGGCTTCCAGCTGACCCGGGTGCTGACAACTGAGTGGGCTTACTTCAGCCTGGTGCAAAGGGCATGGGGACAGGAAGCCTGCTCTTCACACCAGCTCTCTGCAACCACCAGAAATTACATCTGTGTTCTTGAGTCAGAAGGAAAGGATTTGGGGGGATTGTTTGATTGCCCACACTGGACCCCCTCCTCCTTTCTTACAAGTGCATACTATTCCCACCACCTTCAGTGGCCCGATCCGAGGCCTCAAGGTCAGGCATGCCACACTGTCTGTCCACATGGGGGTGGTGGGCCGAGGACTGGCCAACTGTGAGCACCCTGGACATCTCCACAGATCCCACCAGGATCTACCGGATGCCCGAGGACCAGGTTGTCAAGAGGGGCACCACAGTACAGCTGGAGTGTCGCGTGAAGCACGACCCCTCCCTGAAGCTCACCGTCTCCTGGCTGAAGGATGATGAGCCGCTCTATATTGGAAACAGGTTTCTGTTCCTCCCTTCTCTCCTCCTGCTCTTAGTTAGAGGGGCATTTTGTCTTCACTTGCTAATGTTATGCTTGTCACCAAGGAGCTACTGAGGAGGGGGAGATGGCCTTGGTGATTCCCTGTCCTTGGGGGAGACCCCTCCCCCACACCCTTCTTCCTCTCCCATTGGCTCCCTGCTTCTCTCTCCTCTTTTCTCTCCCTTCCCCCTTCTTCATTTCTTCTCTCCCTCACTCCTTTTCTTTCTCCTCTCCCCCCTCCCTGTCTTGTCTCTTCTGAATCCCAGCCTCTAACCTTTCAGCCCTGTTTGCAGTGCTCCTGTTCTCCAGTAGAGGGCAGCACTGGCCCCAGCCCACTATGTCCATTGCAATAAGTGGCAGGGTTTTTTGTTTTGTTTTGTTTGGGTGTGGTTTTTTTCTTTTGAGGGGTAAGGGAGTACCAGGGATTGAACTCAGGGGCCAATCGACCACTGAGTCACATCCCCAGCCCTATTTTGTATTTTATTTAGAGACAGGGTCAGTGGATGCTGACAGCTTACAATCCTGTCCTGCTCTAGGTGCCTCCTCCCTTTGCAGGGGACAGTTCAGAGGAACAGGGTGGTGGGGAGAGGCCTCCAGAAGCCTGGGTGCAAAGGAGACAAAGCTCCAAGAAGAGGAGGACACCTATGGGTGTTCAGGGGCCTAATGCCACCCTGATGTAGGAGGGCTGTGCAGCACAGGGACGCACAGAGACAGGCCAGGTGTGGACTAGGAGAGCAGTGGACAGAGCTCAGTAGCTCCACCCACGTCCTCTCCCCCTCTGTGGAATGCCATGAGTGCTTCCGTGACTCTGAGACCCTGCCTCTTGCAACACATGGCCGTGGCCGCCCAGCCGGGCCTTGCTGTCCCCCTCTTCCTTCCTCCTCATACCCCGCAGCAGGGAGAGAGCAGTGGCAGTGCCCGGCGCCCACCCCTGCTCCCCTTGGTACCTTGCAGGATGAAGAAGGAAGACGACTCGCTGACCATCTTCGGCGTGGCAGAGCGGGACCAGGGCAGTTACACGTGCGTCGCCAGCACGGAGCTGGACCAAGATCTGGCCAAGGCCTACCTCACCGTGCTGGGTAAATGCTGCCACCTGCACCAGCACTGATGTCCCCTCCTCCCTGCTCCCCAGCAGCCAGAGAAGCAGTGGGCCCCAGCAGTTCTGTGGATGACACCTGTGGTTGGCGTGGTACTGTCTCACCTTCTGGTCTCAGGTTGAGGAAGCTGCTACCTTGGGAAAGAGCTGTGATGGACAGTTTGGATACTAATTCCCCTGAACCTCAATGGCAGGGTGCTGGGGTGACAGAGAGAAGTGCAGAGGGGGCTTCTCCTCATGACCCTGGTCACCTCTTACAGCTAATGTCACACCACTAAGTGCATTAAAATGACCCAGCTCTAAAGCCACGCTGGGTTTGCCTTTCAGTAACCTCTGCTAGCCCTCCCCACACCCATGCTGCTCCTGGATTTTGGTGGCATTTCAGAGCATGCTACACACTCAGCAAGGTGATGCCATCTCTTCCTATCCTTGTGTCCAACTGGACAGTAAATACTAAGTCATCGTAAACCAAGGGCAAGTGGCCTCTCCCATCCAGGGAAGTAGATCTCTGCTGGCCCTCATCACCTCTGACCTCTTCTTTGGACATCCTCCCACCATAATCAGAGTGTATTCCTGTCCCACAGTGGAGGAGCACCTTTGCTGGTGGTGGTGGGTGCTGAAACATTGATGGGACTGGGGCGGGTAGGAAGCACAGGTTCCACTCCCAGCCATGGAGGACACGCAGTTGACCTCAATGAGGGTGGGGGGGTGGGGAGCCTCCATGACAGGGATGAGGAAACCATGCCTGAACACCTCAGCCAGGGGCAGCTGGTCGAGCCTCTGCTGCCCATGCCCATCCTTCCAGAACACCCTTAACCCTGATAACCTGCTAACCTGGATAACCTGTCTTACCGTTGCAGCTGATCAGGCCACTCCAACTAACCGTTTGGCTGCCCTGCCCAAAGGTAATTCTTACTAATCAGGGGCCCTCACCAGTGCCCCTTCTAGGCCCCTCCAGAATGGAGTCTGGGAAGCAGAGGGTGCCTCAGGAAAGGATGGCTGCTGGGGATCCTGGCCCTCCACACGTGGCCTCCTTTCCATGTCCACGTCCCCCTGCCTCCATTATCCGATATCCAGCCCAGCTCTGCCATCCTTGGCCAGCTGAGCTCAGAAGCTCTTGGCTGCCACTTTCCCCTCTTCTCTTACCTCTGGCCACCCTCACCTCTCCTTCAGGGTGGCTCGTCCTCCCCCAGCTTGGTCTCAGAAGTGTTTAAAGTCGGAAAACCCACTGCTGCCTGTGGGCCCTTCATTTTGTAAGCTCTCCCACACCTGCTACTGTATATCCACTCACAGTCTGGACACATCTGTGCACACACATTAATGAGGGCTCACGTGACACATCTTCCAGCTTCTTCCTATAACCAGCCAAAATACGGCAGTAGCTGGCTCAGGGAGCCAAGATGGCAGGGTTGGGGGGATCTTGCCTGTTCCCCACCAGTCGCTGGATGGCTTTATCCCCATGCAAGATGGTGCTCATCCCACTAAAGCAATCCCAGGGAGAGCGAGCCCCAGGAGGTGCTGCCCACATCCCGTCTGGAAGCCTTTGGGGCTCCTCTGTCCCACATGTTATCACTGAAACTTCTAGACCAAGTTTCCATCACCTCCCTGCCAGTCCTCTTTCTTTGTGTCCTCCCCACTTCCCTAACCTGTCTGCCCTGCCCAGCTCACCCCTCCTGGGCTCTGGTCCCCTCTGAGCCCTGGCACACAGAGCAGAGGGTAATTATTGTGAGAAAAAGAGACAGAACCCTGCACTTCCTCATCGACCTTCCTAAATGTGGCCGCGGCTGGGTAAAAGGACAGCCTTCTCCATGAATGTCTGCAGAAACGGGATGGGTTGGTCCTGGTTCTCTCTGTGCCCTGCATGAGCCTCTTTATTTCCTTGATCATATCCTTTGATGTTGGGGGGGGGTAGAACTTGAAATCTCCTCTTTGTTCTTCTTTGGCCCCCGGAGGAAATGGGATGGTCCCCATGCTGGCCCTCCAGGGTTGGGGAATTGGATCCCATTGGTTGCAGAGACCCTAAGTCCATCAGGGACCTGTCCAGGGCCGGGACCCCCACAAGGAGGGGCTGGCTGTCACTCAGGAGGCCTGCGTGGTGTCTTCTTCCTCTGCTACCAGGACGGCCAGACCGACCCCGGGACCTGGAGCTTACCGACCTGGCTGAGAGGAGTGTGAGGCTGACCTGGATCCCGGGGGATGATAACAACAGCCCCATCACAGGTCAGCCCAGGGCCCTGCGCGCTCTCCAAAGCCAGAAAAGAGAACGGGTCTCAGGTGCAGCAGAGCATGCCTGTCATTCCAGCTACTTGGGAGACCAGGGCAGGAGGATCCCAAGTTTGAGGCCAGATTGGGCAATTTAGCAAGACCGTGTCTCAAAATAAGGGGCTGGGAGTGTAGCTCTGTGGTAGAGTGCTGGCCTAGCATGTGTGAGACCTTGGGTTCAGACCCTAGCACCTCACCAAAAGAAAAGAGGGCAGGTAACAGCCTTGAACCAAGAGGTTCCCTGGTGTCTGGTCCCACCTCTGCCCACTTGGCGTGGGCCCTGGCTCCCTTCCATGACCTGGGAAGGATTCTCCATGTACCACTGTCCACCTGGGAGAGGATAGGGATTAATGGGAGGCAAGAAAGAGGTGTTTTTAAAGCAGGACATTGCTGACTCAGCTCCTGAAACAGCTCCGTCCTCCCTGCCCACTCAGACTATGTCGTCCAGTTTGAAGAGGACCAGTTCCAACCAGGGGTCTGGCATGACCATTCCAAGTTCCCAGGCAGTGTCAACTCAGCTATCCTCCAACTGTCCCCATATGTCAACTACCAGTTCCGGGTCATTGCTGTGAACGAGGTCGGGAGCAGCCACCCCAGCCTCCCATCCGAGCGCTACCGAACCAGTGGAGCACGTGAGTACTTGAGGGCTCCCCAAGACGGCCCAGGGCCCGGTGCTCTCAGTACAAACTGAGTTCCCCAGTTCCCAGCCCCGTGAACTTGGATGAGTTACTTGACCTCTCCAAGGTTCAGCTTCCTTATCTGTGAGACAGAATAATAATAACACCTGCCTCCTGGAGCTATGGTGAGGCCCTCATTAGAAAATGTATGTCAAGCCAGGCATGCCTGGAACCCCAACCGCTCAGGAGGCTGAGGCAGGAGGATTGCAAGTTCAAAGCCAGCCTCAGCAACTTTGCGAGGCCCTAAGCAGCTCAGTGAGACCCTGTCTCTAAATAAAATATAAGAAAGGGTTCGGGATGTGGCTCAGTGGTTAAGCTACCCAGAAAATAGAAAAGGCATGTCACATGCTTCCTGTGATACCCGGAGTGTTGTAAGCACACAGTGAATATTAACTGCTCCTTTGATTATTAATATTAGTGATTCTTGATCATCCACTCACAGTGGGAGAGCTATGGCAAAGATGTGTGGCACAAATATATAACCCACTGTTAGATCCGATTTCTTTTCCTATTGCACTTGGGTAATGTTTAGATTTCTGAAATCTCACCGGCTCATAGAGGTTGGAGATGCTCCCCCCAAAATGTTAAATGCTGGGGATAAAGCAATCTGGTGTGAAACATGTTTAAGTGGATAATCCATGAACAGGATAATCTGCATTGAATTGGCTTATTGACCACCCGCAGTATGGAAAGCCTTATGCTAATTGCAGTCTGATAAGGGATTAAATTTAAAAGAAATAGCTCTGCTTTAGGAGTTTAAGCCTTAGCTAGGAAGGCATATCATACACGAGAAAAAGACGGAGTGAGTTCAGTGTATACAGAGGCTGAGAAAAGCCGGGATGAAGAAGGGACCAGTCGGGTGGGAGGGAGGGGGGAGGCTTTCTGAGCCCTGGTGAGGCAACAAGTTAGACGTGAACTTTGTGTCTGTTTGGTTCCAGCTCCTGAGTCCAACCCCAGTGATGTAAAGGGAGAAGGAACCAGAAAGAACAATATGGAAATCACGTGGACAGTAAGAACCTCTCCCAACGCCCCCATCCTTGATGAGCCAGCTCACCTGGCCATGTGCCCCTGGCAGCCCCTTCTCCATCCCCCTGAGACCAGAGTGTGGTTCAGAAGATAGAGCCGGTGTTGGCAGCCGCTCTTCTCTGAGAAACCAAGCTCCTCTCTGAGTTGAGCATCCAGAAACCAAACAGGACAAGTGTCTGGGAGCAAGATTTCAAAGCAGAGTCAGGAGCAGAGGTGACCAAGTCCTGTAGACCGCCAGTCCAGGAAGACTCACAGAGAATACCAGAAAGATCAAATGGGTTTCTTTTGAAGAAGGAAGGACTCGAGTTAGACTGTAGGAAAGATCTAGATGAAACCTCAGCATCGAGCTCTGATGTGTTCTGAGTCTTGGCCGTGGGTAGATGTGCAGGGGAGACCAGCATCTAAGGTGCAGGGTGTTAAGCCCTCTTCTAACCACAGCATGGACTAGGTGATTCCAAAGACTCCCACTCCTTGACCAGCTCAGGATGGTCAAGTACTATCTTTATCTTGACTCACTGACTGCATTTTCAAACCCCAAATCGAGATATGTGATCTCAAAATGATTTTTCTTAAATGGCTTCCCAGTTTGGGGGATAAAGATATAGCTGCTGAAACATGAGCAACTCTGAGCTTCTGCCCCCTGCAATGCAAATAGGATGTCCCTGCGCTGGGAATGGTGATCCTCCCTGCCTCCCTGAGGGCTCATCTCCAGCAGCAACAGCTCTAGGCTGGACCCAGGTTCAGGACTCCTGGGCCTCCTGCTCTGCATGGCAGGCTCTGGGAACCTGATTCCTGGACCAGGTCCTTAGAGAATAAAGAAAGGGTGCCACCCATGTTTAAAGAACCCTTATCTGTTGGGAAGGTCAGGACGGGCGCCTGGATTTGGTGGATCTAAAGTCAGTTTTGTAATTTCAAGTTCATCAGCAGGGGACAGGCACGGTTAAACCCATGTGTCCCTTTCTCACTCTGGAGATCCTGTTTCTTGCTGCTTCCGTCCTAGGATGACTTCTGTTGACAATAAAGCTCTCACTCCCTTTGTGCCTGCAAATGTGGTGACTCTCAGAGTCAGAGTGACTGAGTCTCAGGGAAGGGTTTTGTCACAGACAATCAACATGCTGCAGAATCTCTAGGACTCCTGTCTTTGGGGGAGCTCTGGAGGGGAGGGGTGTGCTCTCTCCTGACCCAGGTCGGCCAGGAAGGGTGCTTGGCATAGGAGGGGACCAGGCTCCTCACCTGCACCCTCTCCACCCTGCCTGCCCATCTTTCTCTCCCTGCACAGCCCATGAATGCCACCTCTGCCTTTGGCCCCAACCTGCGCTACATTGTCAAGTGGCGGCGGAGAGAGACTCGAGAGACCTGGAACAACGTCACAGTGTGGGGCTCTCGCTATGTGGTGGGGCAGACCCCTGTCTATGTGCCCTATGAGATCCGGGTCCAGGCTGAAAATGACTTTGGGAAGGCCCCCGAGCCCGACACTGTCATCGGGTACTCCGGAGAAGATTGTGAGTACCTGCCCCCTCTCCCCTCCCCAGCAGGACCCTCCCGGACCGGCCCCCTTGAGGCCAGGAACCTTGAGGTGGGTTGTGGGAGGGCAGCTGGTTCCCAGGAAGTAGAAAAACCCTGCAGTGGCCCAGATCATGCAGGCACCCAATGACATCAGGAGTGGAAATGCCACCATCAAACGCGAGTTGGGATTACCTCCTGTCCTCACTTATTCCAGCTCTCACATTTTACGGATGAGAAAGCTGAGGCCCTCAAGAGAGAGCCAGCAGTATGTGATAGCAAATGTCGGGCTTCAAAATCGAACCCAGGTCTCCAGATCCCCAGCCAGGCTGCTGTGTGGACATGCCATGGAAAGACTTGAGGACTCTCCCAAAGAACTGGAGTGAACACCTCTGAGGAGGCAGGCCAAGGGCCAGATTCTCCCCACAGGCAGGGCAGGCCTTGAGGGATGGGGAAGTCTACAGACCTGAATGTTTTAGATCAGCCAGCTGCCAGCATTCCCAGGGCTGCTCCCAGCTCTTGGAATTGAGCATAAAGAGAGTTCTTTGGAGTTGGTGCTGGGTAAATCCAGATTCTAGACAGGTATGAAGAAGGTTGGTGCCTCTCTGGACACAGCACATCAGTCCTGCTGGCTCCCAAGCAAAGCAGAGGATCAGTGGAGTCTCCTCTGGGCTCATGCTGCACAGTTTGGTCAGTGTCGGATCTGAGCGCATGGAGGTGGAATGGGGTGAGCAGGAGGGAGGGAGGAAGGACAGCCCTGAGGAAGTGGACCCAGCAGGAGTGGTGCTAGGCCCAGCGTAGGGCCAGTGGTCCTCCAGCAGTGCAGTGGAGAGAAGTGAGGGCTGAGCCCTAGGGACATGTTGGATCAGACCCACCGGAGATGAGCAGAGGGTGGCACACACTTCCAGACAGGAGTCCAGTGGGGCCTGCTGCTTGGTAAGTGTGAACTGGGCAGCTTCCGGTCATGGGCTTCGTAGACCACCACAGGGTTTCCACTGTGTTGTCTGCACTAGGGCTTGTGCTCTGGCAGATTAGAGGGGGCGGGACAGACTTCCTTGTGTAGCAGAGAATAGAGGCAAAGGAGTGGTCCTGCCTTTCCAAGGGGCTGCAGGATCAGACTCCCTTCCCGACTGAGGTGAGGTCACCTCCAGTCTGTGGCAACATTTCTTGCTGGTAGAAAACAGATGCACACCCCAAAGGAACTACTGATTATGAGGGACAGGATTAGGGGCCAACAGCAAGGTATGTGAACCTCCTTGGAGACTAGCAACATCAGGAAGCCATTTTGCCACTCTGAGCCTTGATGGCACAGGGGATGAAGGAGTCACCATGACTCTCAAGGACCCCACCCTCAGGAGCTTGGGTACAAGAGTGCAGTGCTGCAAATCTGCAGCCCAGCAAAGAGGAAGCCACCCTCCCTTTCCTCCTGCTCTGGGACCTCCTGTTAGCACCTCCTATTGGCCAGACTCATCCAGAAGCCCAGGAACAAGGAGCTCAGCTGATATGCTCCAGAAGCATGGCCTCCCAGGCCCCGGAGCAGGTGGGGGAAGGTGGAGGATGGAACAGAGGGGCAGATGAGCCCAGCACATGAGCCTCACAAATAGTTGCTCTCTAGACATAGAGACAGAGTCCCTCCCAGCCTTAGCCTTCTCCTGCTCCTCCAAGTGTAGTCTGATGGAGGAACCATAGTCCTTGCCCTCCCGCAGTACCCAGTGTCCAGACCTAGAGTCCAAGGCCAGCCCTGCCTGTATAACTTGCTCTCTGTCCCAACACATTGCAGATCCCAGGGCTGCACCCACCGAAGTTAAAATCCGAGTCCTGAACAGCACAGCCATCAGCCTTCAGTGGAACCGCGTCTACTCCGACACGGTCCAGGGCCAGCTCAGGGAGTACAGAGTGAGGAAGCTGGCTCCCGACTCCACCTAACACTCGCACAATAACCAGGGCAAGGGCATAGCGGAGGCGGGGCATAGACTATTTGGAAGGGGTCCTGGGGCTGTCTGTTGGACCTAAAGTTGATTAAAGATTAGCTGCTCAAAAATACATCCAGAGGGGCTCAGATTGTGGCTCAGCGGTAGAGCACTCACCTAGCATGTGTGAGGCCCTGGGTTCAATCCTCAGCACCACATAGAAATAAATAAGTAAAATAAAGATATTATGTCCAACTACAGCTAAAAATACATCCAGAAAAAAATATATATATATACACTCAGTCATATGTCACTTGACAACAGGATATGTTCTAAGAAATGTGTCATTAGGCAATCTTGTCATTGTGCCAGCATCGTTCAGTACTTGCACAAACCCAGATGGTATAGGTGAGATTCTCAGTATGGCCTCTTAACGCAACAAAGGAACGCAAAAATAGGAGGTGTCTGAAAGCGCTCTTGCCAGTGTAACGTGGCTGCTATCTTACAATCAACTTTCTTTTAATAAATAAAAAGTATAAAATAATGATAAAAAGGCTAGCATGGTAAATACATAAGCCAGTAACAGAGGTGTGTGCTCCTTATCAGTCCTTTGTTCTGCACTTTCACGTGCCTGGCTGGCAGTCAATTCTTTTACCCCAGCATCCCCACAGACATGGGAGAGAGAGCTACAATAGCTAGGACATCACTAGGTGATGGTACCCTGCCAGCTCCATCATCACCTCAGGGGGACATCGTCACACATGAGGCCCTTCACTGACCGAAACATTGTCAGGTGGCTTATGACTGTACACGCATACCCGGATGTGTCTTGCAAAAGATGTGCTGAGAAGCTCTACTGAGCAGAAAATCCCATGAAGGATGGCAGGTCTCGGTTGACACCGCACGGCACCTGTATCTGTCACATGTGTGCGTGGACACAGGTGTCTCCGTGTGCAGTGTTGAGGCACCGCTGAGCTACACCCCTCCCCTCCCGGTGGCCCCCTGCCTTGCCCAGCCTGGTCTTGGAAAGTCAGCACTAACAGGCAAAGCCACTGAAAGGGTGCAAGTGCCCTCCCTGTTGTCACAGCCAACTCTGGGTTCCCCAGAGGTCCTCAAGAGTTGGCTGTTGGACAGTTGGGGACAGGCAGAAGGGCTCAGTCTCTTCCTGGGAAATGAATTTGGCAGGTCGGGTAGGAAAGCAAGATGACGTTCCCAGGAGAATGAGCTCCTCCCTGACCATTGACTTGCACCCTTCCCTTTCCTGCTGCATATTTATCTGGCTAAAGCTCCCATCAGGTCCCCCTAAGTCTGGACTTCCTCCTTACTTTGCTGTGGGCAGCCTGGGTGACACTGCTGTGACAGCCTGACCTGTGCCTTCTTACCTGCTGTTAATAAGACTTCCGCTGCACCTTCCAACGCTACCACCTTCCTTAGCCATCCTGCCCCATCCAAGCCCTGCCACCCCGCGCCCCACTGACTTGGACCTGCAGCTGTCTCTCGGACACCTGTCCATCTCCTCCCTAAAGCCTTCAAACAACACGGAAAGAAACCATTTGAATTCAAAGGATTAAATCGCCCTCTGCTCACATTCAGATTTCCAGGTTTAACCTGCTCTTTGTCGGTTCCTGCCTGTTGCCATCTAAACTCTACTAATCTAACTCGAGGTGATGTGGTCTTCAAGCACGAGCAGAACGTTCCCTGCCTGGACCCCCAGCTCCTCTTGTGGTTCTGGCACAGATTCCTTGAGCAACATGTTACCCAAGTTGGAAATAAATCTCCCAGTGAGGCAGCCTAGATATAAGTTTGGCCAATTCACCCATTCCCCCAAATGGCATGGCTCAGAAATTGAGTGAAACCCTACTTCTTGTTCAACATAAATTCATATTCATGGTGGCCCGTGAGTGGGGACTCTAAGGTTGCTTCCCCAGGCCTCTGTGGAACTGATGAGGCCATTGGGGACTTGGAACCTGTGGCAAGCAAAGGGAAGACCGGTCACTACCACCACACTAACCACTAACCCGCTCTGAGGCCTGAGCCCTCACCTGCCTGCCTCTGTCCCGAAGGCCTACTACTGGAGGGAGAGCAGCTTGCTGAAGAACCTGTGGGTATCCCAGAAGAGACAGCAGGCCAGCTTCCCTGGAGACCGCCCCCGGGGTGTGGTGTCCCGCCTCTTCCCCTACAGTAACTACAAGCTGGAGATGGTTGTGGTCAATGGGAGAGGCGACGGGCCCCGCAGCGAAACCAAGGAGTTTACTACCCCGGAAGGAGGTAGGTCTGCCCTGCCACTCTTCGGGGTGGGCAGAACAAGGTCCGCACACCTCAGAGGACCCAGAGCAGCTCCACATGGCTCCACCCAGGACAGCACAAGGTGACCTGCGTGGCCTCGAGGAGCTGATGGTCTGCTGGCTGAGCAGCTCCGCCACTCCCACATCACGGAGGTGGCCTACCCTGATGAGAGGGTGTGTCTCAAGAGAAGCCTGGTGTGGTCAACTGAAGTGACTGCAGATGGACTCTGCAGATGGACCCAAGGGCACTGCGAGGCCAGGGCTTTCCCAACACCTGCCCAGGCAGAAGGAGCATGAGCATCCTGGCCACCTGGACCACTTGCTCACCAGCACCCAAGACGCTCACAGTCACTGAGAGCCGGCCTAAGTGTGGAGGCCCTGCGGGTGGAGGCCCCAGGGCAGCCCCTCCCTCCTGCAGCCTGCGTCTGGATCCAGTCCCGGGTGGCAGACAGCCTGGGACGAGCTGGCTCATCTCTCCATTCCTACCAGGCCTCCTTCCACTATGCATTTGCTTTGCCTTCTTCTTATTCCCCATTTTTCTTCTTCTGTTCCTCCTTTCTCTTCTTTGTTCTTCCCTCTTGTTTTCTTTATTCCTGTCTTTCCTGCTGTCTTGGTTTGTTTTCATCATCCACCTTGGCCCGTCACTCCCGCCCTTCCCAGGTGCTGCATCCTGGGTTTCTTTCTCCTCACCCACGAACCCAGCCTTCTTGGGTCAGAAACCTGGACCTGGTACTGAGGACCAGGAACTGCACCCTTCCTACAGATCAGCTGCAGTAGGCTCCCTGCCTGGGAATGGCTCTGCCTGGTTTGGTATCTTTGCGGGACTGGAGCCTAATGTGTGCTGAAATCCAGACTCATGGCTCCCCATTTCAACAGCAGAGTCAAGCGCACTTGTCCTCACCCTTGGGCGAAACAATATCCTGGATGGGGCAGTGGGCTCTGGCCCCTAGGGTTCCTTCCAGCACCCTGGCTGCCCAAGGTCAAGGCTTTCATACTTGTGCTTTGTTTTTTTATCTTCCTCATCCTCCCTCCCCCTCCCCTTATCTCCCCTGCTCCCTCCTCCTTCCCCAAGTACCCAGTGCCCCCAGGCGTTTCCGAGTCCGGCAGCCCAACCTGGAGACAATCAACCTGGAGTGGGATCATCCGGAACACCCCAATGGGATCCTGATTGGATACACCCTCAAATACGTGGCCTGTATGTCCTGCCCCTCTCTTTCTCTGTAATAATCTGGGAGTCAGAATCCATTCTTACTACTTTTCCTAAGGAATTGAGATAGGAAGGCTGAGTACAGAGGCCTTTTGGGAGGATGGAGGGGCCAAGGAGAAAGTTCTGGAAGGGATTACAGGAGGCAGGTGAGACCCAATCCCTGCTCTCCATGCACAGATCTGCTGCAGGGAACTTCTTACCCGACAGGTGAGGTGAAGGGAACTCATCTAATGAGGGAGACCACCCCAGCCCTTAGGAACTTGTCCCCAACACCTATAGGTCTAGGAGAGAGAGTTCCTTACCCAATAAGCTGCCGTGCAGTGGGGCAGACAGTGTGTTCATAGGAGTCCACAGACCCCCTGGAGATATGATAAGAAGGTGTCATTTAAGATAAGGTGGCCATATATGAGCAGCCAAGTGACTGGAGTAAATTAAATCAGGACCCGGTCAGGAAGACCTCACCTCAAGAGCTCAGCGTCACCAGGCAGGGATAGCAATGTCATTGCACTTGAAAATCATGCAGTCTTCTACTGGAGGCGATGCTGTTTCTCCCTGGGAAGCACACAAAGGGCTGGATGTTGTGTTGTTAACAATTGCAACAGCCAGCTGTGTGCTTGGGTGCTGTTCTGAATCCATCTCTGGACCTGACCCTTCATCCTTGAGGCATATTGAACACGCTTTTCATAAAGGAGGCGGGAACAGTCAGAAGCCCTGTGAATTGGCCCCAGCTCTGTTTAAACAGAAGAGAGGCACTCAAGAGGTTTGTATCTCTTGGGAATTATAAACTGAATCTTCCAGAATCAGCCACATGCCTTTGCAGTGAGCTAGAGACAGTAGGGTGGGTGAAACAGCACTGGGGTGTAGTCCAGGATGAAACCAAACCTCTCTGCCTCCAAACCACACTTTGAAGATCACCAAGCAGGGCTGCCAGTTCCCTTTCCAGAAAATTAAGACTGGGTTCTTATAGGTGCAGATTACATAAACCATCACTGTAAGCATTGCTCATCTTCTATTCCGCTACCTCTCTCTCCTCAGTTAATGGAACTAAAGTAGGAAAGCAGATGGTGGAAAACTTCTCTCCCAATCAGACCAAGTTCTCCATGCAGAGAGCAGACCCTGTGTCACGCTACCGCTTTACCCTCAGCGCCAGGACACAGGTGGGCTCTGGGGAAGCAGTCACAGAGGAGTCTCCAGCGCCCCCAAATGAAGGTAGGTCTGTGGTGGTGGTCCTTGGGGTAAAAGACCCCAGCTAACTCAGATGCCTAGAAAAACAAACTGAGACCAAGAGGAAGCAAGACCACAAGTCCCCAAACCCCCAGTAGGAGACAACCTGTCCTACATGTTGACAGAGTGGCCTGATCTCCTTAGACTTGCGGTCAAATCTGGGCCCCACTTGGCCTTGACTTGCTCAGCTATTTAACATCCACCATCTTTCCTCCTTGTAGAGGAATAAGAAAGAGAATATGAGTGGAGAGGAGGAGAGGAGGGGAAGCCTGTTGGAAATAAATATGCTAATGAACTCCAAAGAATAGTGAAACTAATTACCTATTTGGAGAGGAAGGACTATTATGGAGGGTGCCCCAGGAAAACTCTGGGACAGGCCTTCCTTTCCAAGGACCAGTGGGGCCAAAGAGGAAGGGGAAAGCACCAAGATTGAAGCCAGTTGCCCAGTCCTGTGCAGAGCTGCAGCTAAGTTGTCTGACTGCAGAGAGGAGGGAGAGATGGGAAGCACCCTGTCCCACACCCTCTTCACAAAGAACAAATGAGCTCAGCTCCTGGGTCCTGGTGCAAAGCATCCCTGCCCAAGTTGCACCTGCCTCAAGACTCCACTAGAGGGGGCTCCAGGCTCACCCACACACGTACTGGCCAGAATGGGAACCCCCCAGGGATGCCAGACCCCATAAAGCCTGGGTGTTGGCAGGCCCCTGTGAAAAGGGACCTCTCCAGAGGTACAATTGTCTATGCAACCATAATTTCTTGAACACCCATAACGTGCCATGCCAGACTGCACAAAAGTAACTTGAAATCCATACCATCTAGAGGAATCCACGATAATATCTGATTGTGTATCTAAACAAAAGGAGCGCAAGCAAAGGAGAGGGTCCTTCTGCAAGGGGTGACTCCAAAGAAGAGGTGATGTGAGTAGGCACTCTGAGGCTGACATACTGTCATGTCTAGTGTTGTCCTCAGAAGGCTCGGGTCCCGGCCTGACCCTGGCCTAAACAGGGTCTGCTGAGCCCTTCCCCTCCCCTGCCCAGGACAGCATCATACTTCCTGCTGGGGCTGCCAGGCCCTGCTGTGTCTGCTGCCCCACCCAGGCTTCCTGGGTAGCTGCATCAACAGCCCCATGTCCCTCACTGGCCAGCAGGCCTGTGCTGAGGCAGGGGAGAGGGACTAGGCAGGCGCCAGAGGAGAATCTGCAGTCTCTCTGGTCTTTACATCAGGAGTGAGTCACATAATAATAACCCATCCCCAGGTACTTTTCTAAGCCCAGACTCGGGGCATTTTCTAGGCTGGGGATTTTAAGGTAAGTAACTGTTGTAGCCTATTACCAAAGGCCAGACCATAATGCACTTTCTCCACAGTTGCGTTTGGAGCTGTATTGGAGCTAAACTGGGGAGAGCCACTCCCCAACCCACACCCCCATCTCTACATAGGGCAGCAAACAAAGCCCCATTGTCCAGCTCCAGGGAAAGTTCTGCAACCCCAGGGGACAAGAGAACAAAGAGAGACTTTCTTCTCAACTTGGGAGATTTTCAGAAAATTCAGGGATTTGTTTTAGGACTCTCAGTCCATGCTTGGGTTTCTGATTTCATAAAATACAACTGGTGGGAAAGAATTACGGCAGCAGAATTCCAGGACAAGGGGTCCATGACTCCCTGTGCTTTGCAAGATTGAAATGGAGAGGTGGGAGTGGTCAACCAAATATGCTCCCCAACTCCTGTCAACCCCGAAACTATGCAGCATCTTCCTGAGATGATATAGAAACCATCCCTTTTGACTGGGGTTGGTGCCTGCTGCACCACCTATACCTTATGCCCTCAATTCTAGGCATCTTAGTGTCCCAGGTAGGGCAGGACACATCCTTAGAGAAAAAGCTGGGGACATAGTATTCTGAATGGACTATCCCTACTGCCACCTCTTAGATGACTACTCATAGAACAGGGGTAGAAACAGAATGTATTAGAAAGGTCTCCAAGACCAAAGTGGGAAGGTAGGAACATGCCTGACTCTAATGGGGTTGACCATGACCCCCACATGCCAGTTGGCATCCTCTGGGCAGCAGCTACTGCCTGGCCACACCTTCTGGGTCAGGTATGAACCAGACTTCTCTGCTTGCTTGGCCTGTGGTTTCACCTGTACTCTGTTTTCTCTTCCCTCTCTCATCCTCTCTCCCTCTCTCTGGCCATCTTGGGTGCTGTGTCTGAAGCCACTCCAACTGCAGGTACCGTACCAGCAGCCGAGGTAACGGGCATGGCATGGGGCAGTGCAGGCAGAGCCTAGCCCAGCCAGGAGGGAGAGGCTGAAAGCATGCTGCAGACTCACCCTTTCAGGGTTGGGGAAGCCAGACTTGAAGGAGCATAGGCCAGGGGAGAGCTCCATGTTTCCCCTCTACTTCCTGTTTGTCCCCTCCTGGGAAGGCAGGGCCCACGCAGGCTCCCAGCCTGCCCTCTGAGCTGCACTGTTCTCTGAAGCTGAGTGATTATCTCCCATGAACCCCCTGAGCCCTTACCTGGGCTTGGCATCTCAGAGCACAGAGATGGCCCTAGAAGGCAGCAGGATCGGGGGCAGCTGGCTCCTGGCTCCTGCTCAGGTCACCCACCATTCCCTAAAAGGGTGAGCACGCTGTGCATGCCTGTCTTGCATGCTGCATGGGGGGCCCAGCACCAGTTCTAACAGCTACAGCGGGTTCTGGTCAGTGAGAACAAGCGAGCGTGTCCTTGGATAGGGCCCAGTGCTCCAGGACCTGGAATATACTGGGCACTGTGGGCTGATCACCCCTCAAACAACAACCTTCTCAAAGTCTTGAGCAGCAAGAACAGCCTCCACTCTCGGGGTCTGGGAGGTAAGACTACAGCAGAAGCCAGGAGCTGACCTGCTAACCAAGCTCCTCCTTGGGTCCTCATGTCATAGGTTTGAGGACCATCACAGGGCTCTTCGCCATAGGAGGCCTGTCCCCAAATTGGAGGAACTAGGTAGGGGACACCAGGGTTTCTTTCCTGGCCCTTCTCTGAGCCTAATTTGTATCAGGTGGAGCTCCAGGCAGCTGGGGAGAACAGAAACTCAGGCAAGGAATTCGAGGCTTGGCTTAGAAAGAGAATGTCACCTTGCCTGATTTGATTTCCTTCCCACTTTCGTTCACTTATTCCCCCACCCCCTTTCTAGGTTGGTTCTATTTCTGTTGCATATCCCGCTTCCTTCAGTTTATGTGTTTTGCCAGCCAGATCTGTAGGTGGTGACCAGCCATCCATCATCCCTCCCCTCCCTGAGTCCTCTCCACCACCCTGCCCCCAGTAACCTGGGCCAGCTGGGGCCCAGTGCCTCCCCACAGGGTCTGGACACCTCTGCTAGCATGCAGAACAGAGGTTTCCAGGGCGTGACAGAGCCATCCTGGCCACGCTGGGGGTTCCCCTGACTTTCAGATTCAAGTCCATATGTGAGTTTCTTTTGTGACTATGATAGCAGGTGCTCAGGGCAGCAGGGAGAGCCGGGCAAGTCAGCTCAAAGCTCATTGGTCAAGCCGCTCCCCATGCACCTCCCCAGTTCTGGCACCAGGACCCAAGGCAGGTGGGTCCGGCAGCAGGGAGTCTGCCCTGGTCAGTGGACATCTGTGCTAGTCCAGCCTGCCCTCTTGTGAGTGGCAATTGTGAAGGGGCTGAGAGGTGTCCTTCCCAACACTCCAGCTTCTTACTTTTGTTTAGAAAAGACCCAAATGCATGCATTATGCAGAATGAGCTCAGGGTCTCTGTCCGTCAATCAAATGTGTTTCCTAGGCTCCGGTTTCCACATGAAGTGGTGGTGGAGGCAGATTGCACTTGGTTGCAAATGCGATATGCTGATATCAAATGTTCTCAGCTTTACATACATAAGAACCTTCTGCACCATCAGTAGGTGCCAAGCAATAGAGCTCAGGTTCTAAATTTTTATGTGGGCCCGGCGTCCGGCCCACCACCCTCTTGCCTCTCATCCTCTCCAAACCTGGGCGCTCTTCCCCAAAACTGATCTGTTCCCTATCTCGCCCAGTGACGATAATCCCTCTCATCCACCTGTATCTTCAGTCTGTTAGGATTTCTGCCCATCTGTCTGACAGTCTGTGATTTGGCCAGGGTAGTTTGCACACCATGTGGACGTTTTTGGACTGAACATCTACCTTGGAATGTCTGGAAACTGCTGTCCTTGTCTTTGACTTGCTTAGATCTGCAAATGTTGGGTGGGCTCCTAATGGGTGCTCAGTTCCATGGCAAGTGTGGGCACAGAAAATGAATGAGAAAAGGCATTTCTTCTCAATTTTCTCCATCTCCTACACAGTGCTCCCCAAACCTGGTGGAAAACCGTGAGTCGTAGCTGGAGTGCCTTCCAGTATACCGGAGCCCACCCTTGGGGTTGACACTGCCTTGGTTCTGGTAGGGGACCTGTGTGTAAGCTCCAGATTGCCCTAGGGTGCCCTTAGGTAATGGAGGGTCTCTATTCCCTCTTCTTGTTTGCCAGGCCAGGTGGTCTCCACTGAGCACTGGTCAGGATGATTTCCAAACCCATAGTTTCTCTTGTGGCTAAAAAAATGACATTCAAACCAGGGATGTGCCTGCCTAGCACTTGGTCACTCATTTTATAAGCCAGCCCCACTTCGGGGCATCATTGCCCTTCCGTCCTCTCCCCCAGCTCCTCCCAGTGGTTGAAGTGGTCTGAATTCCCTTTGACCTGAGCAGTGGACGTTTTTCCCATAGGAAGCGTGTCTCTTCTTGCCCACCTGTCCCAGCCCTCGGATAGCCCATGCTCCCAACTCTGCTCTGCCTCCCTCGGCCTTTCCTTCTTGCCTCTGCTCTCCCTGTCCCCAGTGGCCCTGTCCAGTCTGGGGACAGTAAACAGAGGAATGGATGGATCAGAGGTCACTTTGATTCGCCAGCTGTGACCTCAGCCCACTGAGGGTGTGTCCTCACATAACAGAGAGCAGGCATCCAGGGAGGCTGCCTGGGCAGTGGCTGCCGTCCCCTCTCCCTGTGTATTCCCTCTCACGAACACCCTGGGACTTTTGCCACTGAGCAGAGGGAAAGCAGCTAGGTGGGCATCAGCAGAGAGAAAGTGATGGCAGAAGTGGCCATTAGAGGGTGGACACAGATGGTGTGGAAGCTTCCCCAGAATCATGGCCTACCTTTGTCTCTGGCCAGCAGTGCCAAGTGAGGACATTCTCTGGTCTCTCTCAGGATCTCTGTCCCCAGGGCTCTGGTTAGAATGTCCTGTGGGAGCTGTGGGGGTGTGAACGTGGATGTCTCTGTAAAGAGCCAAGGACCATGTGTGTGTGTGTGTGTGTGTGTGTGTGTGTGGCTTTGGGACAGGGTGAACTTAGTTTCGAGGGCCTGAGGAATGTACAATCACTGCACCTGTCCCTGAACTACCCAGCGTGGGGTCATTCAAGTTAAAAAGGGAGCAACCCTGAGAGGGTCAGCCTCGCGGGTCCTTCTGGCTTGTGTGTTTGTGTGTGTTTGTGTGTGGGTGTGGGTGTGTGTCCCCATGTCCCTCCTCCCATGCATTCCTGAGCTGACTGGACTTGGGGACCATAGTGTTGTTGGCTTTGAACTTGCCCAGGAATCCCTGAAATGCGTGGGGCATAGTCCACTCTCCAGTGTGATTCCTGTGGTCAATACCCTCAGTACCGAGTGACACCTCTGATCTTAGAACAGGAAAGCAGTGGAACCCCAGGAGCATTCCCTCCCTCTCTGCTGAGAACTTGTAATACTGAAGACCCAAGGGAATGAAAGGGCTTTTGTTGGTCAGGCCCTGGTTGAAGAGTTCAGGGTCACTTGATTCTCGATACAGAAAACCCTTCCGGCAATTCTTGCTCTGGCTTCCCCCGGCCTAGCCCTCTTCTGTGGGAGTGGGAGAGACAGGGGTTATTATTTTCCTGAACTTCTAGAGATACAAGGGAGGGAAGGAAGTCACTATTCCTTGAGAGAGTTATCTTTTTATGCCTAAGGTCTCTATCTGCTGCCCCATTAACGTCAACACTATTAAATGGGCCATGATCAGATCACAGGAGATGGAGTGCAAGGCAGAGAGATAGCTCTGTGTCTTGGATTTGCACCCATCATTCTTCTTACACTCTCAGTTTTTGAATATTGAAATATTGAAACTGGAGAGTAAGGATAGGGTAACACTTTGTTAGCTTCCATGGCCCTTCTAGAGAAGGAAGTTGGATCCTTGAAGAAGTAGTCACGTGTATATAATATATAGATGTAGGCCCCCAGCACTGACTGATAGCCAAGGATTGCTTTGGATGGGATCTGGGGGTACTAGAAAGTGAACCCGTGTTGAACCACCCTGTGCCCCCACCTTGTGCCCCAGAGGGAGACTTAGGACACCCCCTGGCGGCTGGGATTTGTGTCTCCTGCAGGCTGGGAAGATGGTGCTGCCCAAGACAGATCCCATTAGTGCCCTTTTCCCAGGTTCTGACATGAACAGGAGAGACTTGGGGTACCTGTACCCCAGATTTCCTAGAAAGAAAAGCAGTTAGCTGAAGTCAGGGTAATTGAGGTCATAGGGGGAAGGGTCATCATTAGGCAGAGGAGGGAAAGGGGGAGAGGGAGGAGAGGCCAAGGACAACAGGAAGAGCTAAGCCTGGTGGCTGAGAGTAGCAGGCAGGTGCAGGGAGCTGCAGATGGAGCTTGCAAGGTTCCCTCGCAGAGTGGGGACTGTTCTCTGTCCCATTGGCTGTGGGTGGCTGTTTGAACTAAAGCAGGCATGACAAAGGGTGATTTGGGAGTAAAGGGCTGGGAATGGCAGGCTGCCCTGTGCCCCTGCAGGACAGGGCCCAGCCGCCTGCACACCTCAGAGGAGATTGGGGCTCCAGGGCTGGACCCAACTGGTGCTGCTTGGTTGTGTGTCTGGATGGCGTTTGGCCTGGGACTCCGTGCTACCCTAGGCCTCAGCTGGGTGCATGCCGGGTGCTTGGACCACACAGACCATGAGAAGAAAATGAAACGCACCCAGGCTTCATTCTCTTCCTTTCCCATGGTTGTGTTTCCGCTGGCCGACCCGTCGGGGCTGCTCGTTTCGCTTGGGGAGGCTTCCATCTCTAAGCCCCTCCCCTGGCGCCCTGCCTCACGTGCACGCGGGGGGCTGTGCGTGCAGGGGGCGCAGCCAAACCAACCGGACTCGGCTGTTCTGCATTTCCCTCTCAGCTCCTCCCACGTTGCCCCCAACTACTGAGGGCGCCACAGGCGCTGTGAGCAGTACTGATGCTACTGCCCTTGCCGCTGCCACCGAAGCCACAACAGTCCCCATCATCCCAACTGTGGCGCCTACCACCATCGCCACCACCACCACCGTCGCCACAACTACTACAACCACTGCCGCCACCACCACGGAGAGTCCTCCCACCACCACCACCACCACCACCACCGGGACTAAGATACAGGAATCCGGTACTGCTGCGTACTGCCCCTGGTCCCCTTGGGGCCCACCTCCCTAGTTGTCTTAAGAGAGCAATCACAGCTGGGAAGTGGGATCTGGGGCAGGGTCTGCCTGTAGCCTAGGGGCCCAGAGCCCCCACACATATACTGCCCCTGTTTGGGTGGTCCTGCACCTGTGGGGCACTCCTCATCCTGCCTCAGCTCCATGCACTTCAACAGAGGTCTCAGCTCCTCATACAGGACCCCACGTCCAGCTCTCCAGAGGGGACTTAACACAGCTGCCCTGAGAGCTTCTGGCTCCTGCCATGCCTGTGCCCAGCCTTGCAGAATTGAGGCCACAGAGCAGAAAGTGACTGGCCACGCCAGGCAGCTCCGTTCCTAGAACCCCACTTTCCTCCTAGTCTCTCTTTCCCCAAGGAACTCTTAGAGACATTTATTTTTAAAAGTCAGAGCTTCCAGGGAATGGTATTGCCAGGTTGTCCCATAATGCCCAAAGTGAGCTCCATGTCTCTTCCTGTCCCTGTCTCCTACATCCCCAGATGCATGCCTCGAAGGGAAACTGCAGCCATTCTGGGAGCCCCTGGTCAGGATGGATCCCAGGGCTGCACTGTGGAGCCAGGAGAACATGCAACTCTGCATCCCTCCGCCAGCCAGGAGGCCCTGCTCTCCAGCCTAGGTGATCCTAGGGGATGCAGCAGGGCTTCTGAACATGAGCATCAGTCTTTCCTTAGCACCTAGGGGAGAATCTCTAGTCTCCTGAGCCCTTAGGCCAGCTATCAAATCAGCACAAGGTAGCTGATAAGGCTGGCCAGACGCCCCCAGAACTCTCCTCCAGCAGTCCCAGGCTAGCACGTCCTCCACCCCAAGGCTTCACTGCCTCCCAACTGACCCTCTTCTCTCAGCCCCCTGAAAGAGCATGGAGGCTTGATGTGCGTGTATTTGTTTCAGTTCAATTGCATGGTGTTAAGTGAGCAGTGAGGAGAGACTGGTAATCTTGAAACCACCAATTCGCTCTATCCACGCAATATCTAGCATTTAAGCAGTACTCACTTGAGGAGAAAGTTGCCTGAGGAGAAACTTGCTAGGCTATTAGAGGTTGTGGTCAGCAACTTAGTGATTGTTCTCTGGTGCCACATTGAAGCATCTTTGTCATTGAGTGCTTTGAACTCACAGAAGAGGTGCGCCAAGGAGCGGGGAACAGTGAATCTTGCTCCTGGCAGTTACTTGCCCTCTGGGAAGATAGGCCTGCCTCCCAGACCTGGCCCCACGACTCACACCATGGTCTGAGATGCTGCAGAGGGCCTGGCCATGGTGCTGATCTTCTCTCGAGCTGGGGACACTCCTCAAGCATCCCCACTTCCCTTGATGTGGCAGAACGGCTCTGCCACCCGGGATGTTTGAAATCAGTTCTCATCTTTATCTAACCTTACATCCTTGAACAAAATTTCTCATTCAGTTTTCTTTTTTCAGAGTGAAAGGGGCCTTTATGTTTGTTCTTAACATGTCTCTTTCAGATTTCAGGGACACTCCCTAACTCAGGCCAGGAGTCAGTGGAAGGATGAGGGTATCTCCTCTCTTGCCCTTTTTCCCCCTAATTTGTTCTTTTAGATAGACATGTCAGTAGAGTGTATTTTGACATATTATGCATACATGGAGTATCATTTATTCAATTAGGATCCCATTCTTGAGGTTGTATGTGACGTGGAGTTTCACTGGTCTCTGGGTTTTGGTTATTGAGGGCTTGCTTTCTTGGTCCTTCTCTTTGAACTTTCCAGTTCTTTAGTGGTCAGCATCTTGACCTCTCTGTGTGGCAATGCCTTACTTCCATTCCCATCTCCGAATCATTTTGTTTCCCACTGCGGGATCTTTCCTAAAACCTGCCCCCCTCCCCATCTTTGTACCCTGGAAAATAGTCAGATTTAGGTCAATGTTATACTGGGACCAAATGCAAATACTCTATCTATTTTACAGGGTCCCAAGCTAAGGAGGAAAAAACTCAATTCCTTAAAACATGGCTCATCATGAATTCATTCCCACTAGCAAGAACCATCAAATTCCAAAGAGCTGGGATTTGAAGGGGCTTAAAGCAGCCAGTACAATTGAAATATCTGGCAGACAAGTGGCGAAGCCTACCTCTGCCCTCCCTATGAAGAGTACCCTCAGGTGTCTTCGTGACACCTCTTTTTTGGTCTTCACCTAACATGCCTCATGTTCACCTGGGGCAAGCTGCCACCTGACAGGGTTGTAGTAGAAAAGAGACTTCTTTGAAGTGAAAAAAAACAGGAAGTCTTTTATCACTTCTCCAGCCCTTCAGACTCAGTCACATGTCAAATAGATAATGAATAAATGCATCCCTGATGTACTCTATTCATTTATTTTTGACAAGTGAGTTGGTGACAGTGCCCCCTTGCATGCTAATAAAATATACAGAAGCCACCCTTGTAAAGTCTTTGAAATACAAGGCTTCATGCTAGTCCTCCACTATTAAATCTTTGCTGGAAAATGGGGTAATCAGACTGCTGGGACTCTTGAAAAGTGATTGCATTTGAAGATTAGTGCCATTCTTCTGTTCGTAGGCTATGGTTTCAGACAGCGCCATGGCTTTGATAAAGTAGCTCCCAGCTCATAGGAGCTAGATAATTAATGTCCTCTGTGTTTCAGAGAGATCAAGCCTCAAAGACTCTGTGGGGCTGAGAAGCCAACCGAATGGTGTTCTTCTAGTGCCCGGATCACCGAGGTTTGGAGGGTTAGGTGTCAAGGGGTTCTCTTCTCTTGGTCCCATCTAGTCCCTGACAGAGAGAAGAAGGATTCATACTGTCTGTGCTTGGGACCCAAGGTTCTAAGCCCCCAGTCACCATAGGCAATCGGGGGTGGTTGTGTGTGGCATCCAGGGTCTCACTGGTCGCTTATCTGGATGACCCTTGTCCTACTCCAGTTTAGAAGCCCAGTAGGGTTTCCCCATATTCGATCTCGTCCTTCCTACACATTTCTTTGTGACTCTTTCTTGATTTGGGGAGCAGTAAATGCTAGGGATTGAACCCAGGGAGAACTCAAACCCACACCCTAGGTTAGTGCTCTACCAAGGAGCTGCACCCCCATCCTTTCTTGCTGGACTTTCAAAGACAAGCCTCACCTTCCTGTAGAACTTCCATGGTTGAAAGAAAAAAACAGCACGTCTCCCACTCTTTTGGCATCCTGACCAGAGACCTCATTCCTGGCCTCTTTCCTGGCACTGCTCAAATCCATGACAAGGAATGTAAAAAGGAAATAAGCCCAGGTTACAGTCTCCAACAGTGTGGATCAAAACCCACTCTTCATGCCTAACCCCGCCGATGTGGATACATAGACAGCTCTCCTTCCCATTCAGGTCCTCCTGACTGCTCCCGCTCGTTCCCGGATGGCTGCTTCGGGCCTGGCCACCAAGGCTGCAGCTTGGAGCTCCTTTGGGCCCTGTGCACAGCCATGTTTGACTCTTTCCTTTTCTGTGTGTGTGTGTGTGCGTGTGTGCGCGAGTACATGCTGGTGTGCATGTGTGTCTCGGTGTCTCCCACGCTGCCAGCCTCCTCATCACTAATGCCTCTTCTAACCTGCCCACCAGCCCCCGATGAGCAGTCCATATGGAACGTCACGGTGCTCCCCAACAGTAAATGGGCCAACATCACCTGGAAGCACAATTTCGGGCCCGGAACTGACTTTGTGGTTGAGTACATCGACAGTAAGCATTGATGTGTGGGGAGGTGGTGGCGGCGGCAGTGGCTCTTAGTGGTAGATGCCATTAAAGAGATCCTGTGAAGTCCCCCAGGCTCAGAGAGGCCTTTTAGCCTGGCTTAATTATAGCTTAATGAAATCAATATGCGTTCAGGCGGCAGAGAGGTGGGAGGAGTGGACTGAAAGAGAAGGTAGGGGCTTTCAAAGCCATTAGTGAAGGCCTCCAGTTGCAAGTACTATGGAAGACCCGGGCAGCCGAGCCCTCCATCCATTTCCTGCCCAGGATGAGGGTTCTCAGTCACCCCAAAATAAGCCAAAGCTCACCTCTGTGTTGATGTCCTAATGTGTATCCTGATGGCTTCACCAGATAGACCAGGCCAGTTCACAGACTTGGGCTCCAGCTGTGTTTTGTTCACAGCAGAATGCCAGAGGGCCACAGTTAGAGACAGGAGCCAGAGCCCTGTGTCCCAGAGAGCTGGTGACAAGCTGTTTGCTCTTTTTCCTAGATCTTGGGACCAAGGAACAGATTGGTTAGACTACAGAGCACGGTCAGGACATCCAGCCTCTCTGAGTGGAGGCCCCTGGTCCTGTGGGGTCAAACCCTACCCCTTGGCTTCTCAAGCATGTGCTCTAAGCAGCCAAGCCACATGCCAGCCTTAAGACCCACCTGGGATGGCCCACCCAAAGCTCTCTTGGGAATGCCAAGCCAACTCTTCACTCTCTGTGTCTGGAGGATACAGTATCTGGAATCCACAGTATCTGGAATCCTCTTGTTTGGTCCATATAATTTTTCAGCTTGGCCCATGCGCGCCGCCGCCCCCCCCCACACACACACACACACCAACACCATTTGCCCTGCAGCGCAGACACAGGTGCTTTACCTGGTGTGTGATTTTGCCACTTGCTGGGACACGAGAGGTGAAGCCAGGAGTGAGAGCCAAGGAGAGTCAAGGACTCTTCCTGTCCCATCTCCAATAACCATAAGGGATGCTGACTGGCTCTCTGGCCTCACCAGAAAGATCCCACTTGGAAAGTGAATCACTCCAGGGCAGTGGAGTGTCCACCAACATGCTGAGGATTTAAGCAGGTCATGGTATGTTTAGCGCTAAGACTGTGGTGAGGAAGGAGAATTATAAGAGGAAACAGTGTCCTTTGTGGAAGGGGCATCATGGAAGAGAGAGAGCGCTAGCATTGCATGGACAGGCACTAGGGAGCCAGCTGTCTGGTTCTCTCCTGGTCTGTACAGTGGACTGGACCCGCGGTCCCCTCGCCCTTTTCTACCTTTGACAGGTGACCAGGAAACTAAGCACTGTCTCTCCAGCTCCTGGTGCCTGGCTTTAGGCTGACCAAGATTTCTGTTCCCCAGGCAACCATACGAAAAAAACTGTCCCTGTTAAGGCCCAGGCCCAGCCTATACAGCTGACAGACCTCTATCCTGGGATGACGTACACATTGAGGGTTTATTCCCGGGACAACGAGGGCATCAGCAGTACCGTCATCACCTTTATGACCAGTACAGGTGAGAGGGGAGCTGGCCTGGCTGTCCCCTGAAAGCATGAGGCATTTCATCCTCATCCTCTGCTTCCGGCTTGCCTTTTCTCCCTGGAAAGAAGATTCATCTCTGCCTGATTCCCCACCTTGCATGGCATGTGTAAGTTCCCCGGGAAGCCAGAGGAACCAGGTGTGCATGCACAGCCAGAAGTAAACTGATTCTGGGCCCCTGGGGCTGAGCGGGGATCCAAGGAAACAAAGGACTGTATAATGAAGACAGGGACTGCGTGGTCCCCCCTGCTAAGCCCAAAACAAAAGGGCTTAGTGTATATGCAAACTGTGGTGTGCTGGTCTGGGGGCTGCTGGGAGTCAGGCCGCCTGCCCCAGGTGTTCAGGGGCTGCCTCCTCCATGGGGGATTAGGGCACAGGGCTGTCACAGGGACTTGATCCAAAAATCTCTCCAGGAACCCAAGCAGGGATCAGCGTGTATGTTTACTGTCTTGCCACCATCATCTGTCAAGAAAAATTCCAGTGCGTGACACAACTTGTTTAAGGCTTTGTTTTGATTTCATTTTTGTCCCAATTTTGTCTTACCTAAAAATAGGTGACTTTTTGTCCTGCTATGGGAGGGGAGGAAGCTCTTGCTCTGTAGAGGCCTCTGCGGTGCCTGGAGAAGAATCTTTGTTGTATTAAATGAACAGGCTGATGGGTGGGGTGGCTCGGGGAAAGGGCTGGGGTTCAGAAGTCTGTCTGCTGGAGGGGTGGCTGGGAGCCTGGTGGCCTTGCGGACTCTTGGGTTCGTGAATAGTTTTCAAATCAGCCAGGGGCAGCTAAGTGGCCTGTATGCTAAGCTCTGAGAGAAAGGGTATTTGTGGGGGTGGGAGGAGAGATTAAGAGAGAAAAGGATCAGCCCCTGACTCTAGGGATGTTCTAATCAGATGCAGGATATTAGATGCATAGGGAGGAAAATCACAATGATTTATATGAATTTCTGAACATTGACTTGAATATTCATTACCCTCCCCGTGCCTGGCCCAGCAAGGCTGATTTTGCAAGCTTGCATCTTGGGAGTCACTGCCCATCTGTATATCTGTCTCCCCCCACCCTTTCTAGCCTGGTCCCTCCAGATCTGTCCTCCTCCCCATGCCTCCGCCTGTTATGCACATTTCCATGCCACTGAGACTCAGGGAGTCTGGCTCCTCGCTTGGGGCTAGCTGGGCCAACTCTGGCAGGATATCTGAGCAGCCCGGCTGTCCTATCACAGGGAGCCAGGCAACTGGACAGTTGACCAAGCGGAGCAGGTGGCTGGACTCTGACCCAGTTGGGGTCCTGTGCTCTTGCTCATTGGTGCATGCATTTCATTTCATCGTACTTCATTATAAATTTGAGTCCAGAACAGGGGCAGGAAGCAAAGATGATGGTTGGGAACAGAGGCCCGCCCTAGGGAATGCTTCGAAAGCCAGCGCAGCCTGCTCTTTCAGAGTTTAGCCTCTCCGGATGCTAAGCTCTGCCACTGTGGGTGAGGTTAGGGAGAGAAATCCAGAGAGGAAAGGACCCAGCAGGTCCTGGCCCTGGGGGTATCCTGCTCTGTGTCCAGGTAGTAGGCAGACAGTACAGAAAGAAATTGCAGCGACTTCTTCCACAGCCAAAGCCCCTATTTCTGAATGTTGACTTAGAGACTTATTTCTCTTTGCCTGGTGGATCTTATCGCCTGCTTTCAGAACAACTGCCACATCTTCCAGACTCTTCCCCATACGCTGGAGCAGGCAGGCTCATGACCCTAGCTCTGAGTTCGTATTGCTCATTTCCCTCCCAGGCTTGCCGGAAATTACTATGTGCAAACCGCATGGGGAGAGAAAATATTTTCACTTTCCAAAGTCTGTGTGTGCCTGTTAGTGTGTGTATATAAATCCTTCAGAAATGCATACTGTTTCCTGTGGGTGGACTCCAGAAACAAGTCCACACAATCCCCCAGATCCTCATGTTTCATCAAAGCAAATTTACAAGCATCTCTGGGCCCCAACCACTGGTCATTTAGGCAACCGCAGGCCGTCGTCACTTTAGTCAGCAGAAGCAACATTCTGCAGTAGTTCTGGAAGGAAATGGAAGGAAGGAAACCCACTGGGAATGCTACTGGGCTCTCCAGCCCTCACCAAAAAGATCCCATTGGGATGTTAATCACCTCCTTGAAGCTTTTGAAACCAAAGAGACGTGAGGTGTTGCAGACACATAACCTGGGACCCTCAGAGGGACCCTTAGAGACCCATTGGCCCTTTGCAGCTAGGTGTATGTGGGGGGGCGGGGGGGCAGGCAGCCTTCCTGTCCTGTGGTGGTTGGTGGGGATGGGCCAGCAGTCAGGTCTGCTCTGACCCCAGGAAGGCAGGAGGGACTACAGAACAGGGAAGGAGGGCATAGAGGGGTATACAGTGGTGTTTATGTGACCGCAGCCAAGCCACATGTATGTGAGGAAAGGCTATCTGTTATATTTGTTTCTTGACCCCTGTTCCAGAATTCTGCTGACTTTGGCTGACTGGCCTGTCTTCTGTAGCCAATCAAATTCCTCCCAGCTAGACACAGGAGTCGGTGGAACCGCCTCTTTTGCAGGTGTAGTGCTTGTGTCTGACTGGGTTGGGGAAGTGGTGGGGCTTGACACTGAGGCTTTGGTCCAGAGCGAAAGACATTTGGGCCTACACTGGCTGGGTGCTATTCAGGCTCCCATCACTCCTGGCTGAAGGTGGTGGTGTACATGCACCAGCTCCTTGAATGTTGACAGCATTGGCCCTCAAACCAGCATAGCAGATTGATTGAGGATAGCCTGGGCAGTCAAGTGTAACTGCCTGGGAGCCTTGCTAAAATCCTTCCTCTCACAGCCCAAGCCATGGGGTCACCTTCCAAGTAAGGTCATTAAATCCTAAATTTCTTTTGGTTCTTGAGAAATTAACTCATTTTGATGGGGTGTAGTTGGGCCCACATACCCCACTTGGGGTATGTGAGGCATATGCCATCAGTGCCTTCTATGTCATAGGAAATTCTTTGACCCTTCAGTAAGGACTGAAGGTATGCTTCAACTCACCTGGTACTGTCCGGAGTGGAAAGGTATGTTTGCTTTCTAAAATTGCCCATGTGACCACTTTGCCTTGGAATTGTGACTTGGAATATCATGGAGATGGCAGCCAGAGGATAAGAATAGGCACCAAGAAGATGGCAAAATCAACTTCTCTGCAAAAAATATGTGCCACTGTCCAAACACAAGTGAAGTGATTGGTCTACTAGGGCCTCGTGTGTGGGCAAGCCAGCATAAATGTGACCCCTAGGTGGCATTAGGGGTAAAACCTAGAGCAGGGTCCCAGGTTAACTGTATTACATTAGGATTACATGTAGTCATTGATCTCTTTTATTTGACCAGCATCATGCTAAATACTAGGGGGCTCAAGAAGATCCCCTTTTCTCAAGACTTTAATAGTACAATTAAGATCCAGCAAACAGGACAATTTAATGTTACATTTGTGTGGAATAGTTGGGAGCCATGTCAGAGTCCAGAGATGGGGTGAGTTGGAGCAACGGAAGGTTCAGGAAGGAGGTGGAAAACGTGGAAAGTTGGTGACCTGGAAGAGGGCGGCCCAGGCCCTCTTGGGTAGGATGGGCAGAAGCACAGAGAGGGAGACTACACAGCACCCTGAAGGCCAGGCTGGGGTGGAGAAGGCAGGTGGCATTACCGTGAAACATCCTAGAGCATGACATAATGCCTCACTGTCTCCAGTGGCACTGGGGGCATGATGTGAGGGGACCCCTCTAGAGTGGACGGTGAGGTGGATGGGAGAGAGCACCGGCAGCCATTAGAGGGGGCAAGAGTGGCAAGTCACTGGCGGGGGCGGGCAGTGAGGCACATGCCATCAGTGCCACCAGGAGGGAGCTTTGGGCTCACAGCTGTGGAGTTGGCAGCAGGGACAACAGAGAGATGAGTAAGAGGGCTGCCAGTTGGAAAGTTGGAACCAGTCCCGTCATAGGTAAGAGGCAGGGAATGGAGGGCGGCTGGGGAGAGGCGGGCTTGGCGACGGAGGCTTGAGGTCAGCTTGTGGGGTTGAAGGATGGACTGGGCAGGAGCTGGCCCCACGGGAAATGGAGGAGTTCCTCTAAATAGGGCCACGCATGAGCTGGGGCTGGAAGGCCTAGCACGCTCCTCAGGGTTGTTAAGACACAAGAAACCTCAACAAGTTTAACAGATGGGAAGGAAACGGTGAAGAGGAAGAAAGGGAACGTGATACCAGGGTGTTCAGAAGTCTTTGCAGGAATGAAGGACCAAGGAAGGCAACACTGGGTCCCATTTATGTGGCAGGGGAGGGAGTTTGGGGGAGAAGGGAGAGAAGAGGATCCTGCCTCTGGTACAGGAGGAGGGGACAGCTGCAGAGGCTTCAAGCTTCCAGGGTCCCCAGAGTGTCCGTGGAATACAGGAGGTCAGCGCAGATGTGGGCAGACGGCAGTCAGAGCCGCACGAGGGAGAGGGAGGACAGGTTCTGGACACACAGCTGTTGGGCTGGCTGGAGGGACAGAGAGAGGAATAAAAGGATTGCCAGGTGGCTGCAAAGTCCAGCTGAAGAATGACAAGTGAATCCCCAACAGGCCTGGGCCTGCGTCTCCCTCCAGCTGGGCTCCCTCCAGCTGGGCTCTGGAAGAGCTGAGATGAAGTCAGAGACTCCCTGCCAGGAACTGGGAAGGACAGGGTGGAGTTTAAGGTGGACAGTGGCCCCTCAGGCCAAGGGGTGGGGCGCTGAACAAAGGCAAGAAGGTCAAGTGTTCCTCTTCCAAGCAAATGGCAGTGGAGCTCCCCCCACACACTAGGCTCTGCCTCCAGCCCTGGGGAGACCAGGCTAAGCCCCACCCCTGAGCCTATTTTCTGGGGAGAGGGACAGGGTGGAATGGCAGAGCACAGACTCCCGGGGCCAGACAGCTTGGGGTCACATCCTAACCCGGACAGTTACTAGCCCCCCAACCTTGAGTAAGTCGTTTAAACTGTGCCTCCAAGTCTACCTCTGTAAAATAGGACAAAAATTAAAACTTGCCTAATGTATGAGGTTGTGGTGGCATGGATTAGATAATATGTGGGAAAGTGCCCAGAACGGTGCCTAGCCCTTGAAGTGCTTATCAGTATAAATGAATAGTAGTAATTTGTCAAATGGTTACAAGTGCTATGGAAAAGATAAATTAGAGCTTTCTGATCAAGAGTGACTATGTGGGGGTGGAGGAGGGGGCCTTTGCCAAAACTGGGGAAATCCAGGAGGGCTGTCCTTAGGGACTCTCCAAGGCAGAAATGACCAAAGCCAGTGTGGCTAGCGCATGGAGAGTGAGCAGAGTGGGACATAGAGAGGGGTGGCCTGGTCCAGCTCTGACAGAGCCTGTAAGGATGAGGAATGCAGCTCTTTCTCCAAAAGCAATGAGACTCTTTGGAGAGTTAAAGCAAGGAAGAGATCTGATTCTACGTGGGGCTTGGGGAAGATTTTTCTGACACTGTGGGGAGTGGTCTGCCAGCTAGATGGAGCTTTTCTCCACAGCACACCCAGATCAGGGTCATCACAAGTCGGGTTCTTACTGGACTCAACTGCTTTGCTGCAGGGCTACTCTGGACCTCCAGAGCAGTCCATCTGGAGGTGGAGCACTTATCTGTCAGTCTTCAGCATTTACTAAGAGCCGTCCCTTTGCAGTGCCCTGGGCTGGGCACTGAAAAACACAGAAAACAGTCGTAGCTCCCAAGAACAGCGAAGGATGTGATTATGCCCAGATATTGGCTCACAGATGGCATGTGGTGGGAGTGGGGGGTGCACAGAGCCCTGGGGGCCCCATGCTTTTCCCATGCGCCTTCTGGGAAGGCTTGGTGCTGTGGTTCCATGACTCCTGCTGCTGTGTGGTGCTCCCAGGTCTCTCTGGATGGGCAGGCTCCAGAGCTGCTTGGCCGTGTCCATTCCTTGGACCTCTCCCTACCTCATGCCTCAGTGTCTGTGACAGGCTGTTTCTGGAGGTGTGTTTTCTTCCTTAGTCCAGAGGTAGGAAAACAGAGAGGGTCCTGAGCATGTGCTCCTAAGCCCCAACCCCAGCCATTGTGGACACCACCCGATGACCCCTGGGCTCCTGTTCTTTAGGCCCTCCTGCGTGCCCTTCCAAACACAAAGAGATCTTAGGCAGGTCTTCAGGCACAGACAGAGGGCACTGTCACAGGGAGAGGGTGAGTGGGTGTGTCACAGGCCACCAGGGCCCTCTCACGGGGCAGGAAGTGGGATGGAGTGAGTAGAAGGCGCAGCCCCAGCATCAGCGCCATCCTGTCTGGGGGAACCTGGGCCTGCACCGTCTGCTGCCAGGCTCAGTCCAGCTGGGCAGACATGAAAAGGCACAGGACGACCTGTTCCTCCACCTGGCCCAGGACCCACTGCCAGGAAGACAGCTGGCTGCCTTGGCACCCCGCTGTGGGCAGGGATATGGCCCTGCACCTGTGCAGGCCTGCCAGGCCTCTGGCAGCAGGTGCACGCAGCATGACCTCAGCTCCCGCTCCCATGGGTGGCATGCAGAACCATTCACAGGACTTGTGCTTCCACAGACAATCCCTGGCCTCCCCTGAGTCCCCACGTGGCTGTGGCCATCCCTCTGGTTTGCAAGAATGCCCAGCCTCGTCCCGAGGAAATGCCCTTCCTGAAGCACCTGTTCAGCCTCCTGCCGCTTCTCCGTTCCCTGCATGCCTTTCTGCCTTTACTTTGCGTTTTTTCTGAGCTTTTGAACTTGGCTCTTTTTAACTGTTTTCTTTTTGTCCCTTTAGCCAGGTAGTTTGGGCCAAAGAGTGGCTAGATGGTAGTGTTAGGCTCCAGGAGAACCATCCATGTGCCATAGCTGAGCCTCGGGCTCCCCTCCCCCACCCCCACCATGCATTCACTCACGGATTTGCTTCCGACCCCCCTCCCCTCAGCTTACACCAACAACCAGGCCGACATCGCCACCCAGGGCTGGTTCATTGGGCTCATGTGCGCCATCGCCCTCCTGGTGCTGATCCTGCTCATCGTCTGCTTCATCAAGAGGAGTCGAGGTGGCAAGTACCCAGGTGAGACCTGTGAGGGGAGCAGGTGAGGGAACCTTCCCACCAGTCACCAGGTCACCCGCCTGATCTGTCCAATCAGAGACTTGGAACCGTGGCCCTCTCCCCTGCTCTTTGCATTAGTGCCACAGGCAAGCACTTGAGTTAATTATGTCCACCGAGGTGGGCGGATGGTGAGGTCCAGGCCGCTCCAGAGAGGGATGGAAGGAACCCTGGCTCCTGCTGAGGTTGACCTTCCCTCGCCTTGACTCACCACCCATCTGCTTCGAAAATTGGCTTTTTTCCAGCCTGAATCTCATTAGGACCCTGTGTCCCAGGGAAGGAGGAAGGAAGAGAGGCATTTTAGATAACATGGGAAGAGAAGGGGTCTGGGCAGATGGGCACACCCATGAAAGAGGTGGCAGAGCTGGGCCCTCTGCGGGACAAAGGGGATCACAGATAACTGGAAAGGGGGAGCAGTGGATGGCACTGATTGAACCCCACAGCACTTAAAGGGCTTTGAGTCCCAAAGAGGTGTTTCTCTTCTATGGCCAAGATCCTCCAGCCCAGACAAACCAAGGTCAAGAACAAGGACCTCTGGCATTCTTGTTTCTGAAAATATTGATTGTTTTTCAAGCAGGGGCAAGCAAGCCATCTGTCTATGACGGGGTGGGTGGGGTGACAGGAGACAGGGTAATGGATGACTCTGGAGCAGAACTCCTGCTGGGCTGCAGGATGAAGTCACTCCCTGCTCCAGAGCCCCATGACCAGACCACCCCATGCTCCCCAGATACCTCCTTCTCCCTGTCACTATACAGAGGTCCTCGCCAAAGCTCAACACAAAGGATCTGGAAGGGAGAGGAGATTCTGTCTTATTTCCTTCCCCTGCCCTCCTACACTCAGACCCTAGGGCCCTGGGGTTCTGCTTCCATTGCAGTGAGGGAGCTCAGGAAATTGCAATTCCTTACCAGTGAGGGATGCTTTTTCACTTTGTTCTTGCGACTCTTTTCCTTCTATAAGAGAGAAAGCCAGAGTTAGGGCGAGGTCCAGCTTTCCAGGTAACATCAAGACTTGGGAGGACTCCCTGAGTCATTCCCCTCCCAGTGGAACTCACCAGATGTACTCTGAGCCTCTTCAAAAGTGCTCCATCCTCCTCCCAGAAATCTCTCCAAAGTAGGCCTCCTGACTTCCAGCTCCAGGGTAGGTCCCTGGCATGTTAAAAGCCCAGAGACCCAGGAGCCCAGGGCCAGCACGCCAATTGTCCTCCTCTCAGCTTCATGTGGCTGCTAATTAGTTATGTGATCTGTTCTTCACCTCTCAAGACCTCAGTTCCCCTCCCTGAAAATAGGAGTGATTGTCCTGACTTGTATTTTTAAAAGAATACATAAAGCATCCCTCATGGGCCTGGGGGTATAGCTCAGAGGTCGAGTGCTTGCCCAGCATGTGCAAGGTCCTGGGTCCAATCCCCAATAACTACCGAAAAAAATAAATAAATATATTAAAAAGGAACCCTCAGGTAAGTGCCTGCTGCATGCCAGCCTGTTTTAGGTGCCAGGGATACTAAAGGAGAGATGATTGTCCTTGACATTGCAGCTGCCTCCTAGGGAATGGCCACAGCACAGCAAGGCAGGTCTAGGCTGGGTGTATAGGAAAAGGGCACCTCAGTGAAGACCCAGATAGGAGAGCGCCTCCATCCCTAGTGTGACAAGTGTCTTCCCTGACCAGGGCACTCTGCCAGCAGCTTTGGAGAAATACACAGTCTCCACCCTGAGAAGAGAACTACATTCTGTTAGGGGCACAGGAACTGTGCACAAAGGATTCTAATACACAGCAGGAGAAGGGTGTGAACAAGGGAGGATGTGCCTTTGGTGGAGGAAAGGATCACATCTCTGGGGGTTTGGGGAGGAGCCCATACAGAGACAGTGGGAGCTTGGTGGGAGGAGATTTAGTTGTTAACAGGGATGTAAAGAGAGCCCTTGGAGTGAGCAGGACGAGGCAGAATCAAGGGATTGGCTTTGGGAAGAATTGATGGCATCTTATTAAAAGGAGTCGAGGGGTGGGAGGGGTGGGCAGGCCCAGGGTGGTGTCTTCTGGCCCCACATGCCGTAGGGCCCTGGAGAGCAGGGGCCTACTCTTAATCAGTGTCTGTCTTCTCTTATTGACCAAGTGCGAGAAAAGAAGGACGTTCCCCTTGGCCCTGAAGACCCCAAAGAAGAGGATGGCTCCTTTGACTACAGGTGCGGGATCTCCTCCCCCTGACTGGCAGCTGTCCTTCCTGCCCTGAGGCAGCCCACTCCCCTCAGAGCAGCTGGGCCACAAGGCACTGCATCCACATCCTCACCCACTGGGCTGTCACCTCTGACTCTCTGACCATGCCTTGGCAGAGGACATGTGGTCAGAGAGGTTGTGAATCCTGACCAAAGAGGACCAGGCTGTTCCCCCACCCTTAAACACTTCATTCATACAATTGCACAACTCAAACTACTGAGCTGCTTATATGTTTCTTTCTACCATTTACCTCTAAAAATGCAGCCTGGGCCCCCCCATGCTGTGAAATGAGTTCCACTCTCAGACTTCTTTGCTTAAAACCACCCTTAACCCTGAAGATAATGACCAGGGGGATGTAGTGTCTAAGCCTCAGGCAGTGACGGGGCAGGGCAAGGAAGTCTAGGTTCTTTCCTCTTGAACCTGGTGACGTCTATGGGCTCTAGGGTAGATGGGCCTGGGAGAGGCCCAGTGCCCTGTGTCCCAGGTGGCAGGGCTGAGGCCCATCCTGGGAAGAGACCTGCCCAAGCCCCCACATTCATCTCCCAGGCAGAGCTGAAGAGGATAGGGGCTGGACTGCCAGCCAGTGCTGCTCTCCTATGGATCTGAACAGGACTTTGTATCTCAACTTAACAAAATCGTCAACTGTCCATTTGAATGGCAGGTATATTCTGAATTCAAGAATGAGGCAGAGAATCCCCAGTACCACCAAAAAAAAAAAAAAACCTTCAGGAATGGTGCTGGGTGGGTCATGGAATCTTATTCTCAGACCAGGTGAGTGGAAAGGTCTGTTCAGGGCCTTCCTTCCCTGCCCCCACCTGGTTACTAGCCAGTCCGGGTCACCGCTGCTCTCTGGCCTCTCTTTATCCTTTCTGGGCCTCAACCTCTCTGCCCATCAGCAGCCTGGCAAGCCTCAACAGACCAATGGGAGCAGAGTCACTGCCCACATGGGTGCCGGTCTGGCAGCTTAGGAGCCACAACCAGCCAAACAGTTCCAGCGTCCTTCCCGAAGGACAGGCACAGAGATGCAGCCCCTTCTTCCCAGGCTCCCCTGGCAGGGTCCAGCTTCCCCATGAGCTGGCCTTCATTTCCAAGGCCAAGGTGTCTTTTCTCCCCCAGACCCTCAGCATAGCCAGAGGTGGACACACAGGGTGGGCATCCTACACTAAGAGAAGCTGCTTCCTCATGTGCCTCTCTCCTCCCCTGGAAAACAAAGCCATTGGGCTAAAGCACCTGCTGCGTGCGCGCTGTCCCCAAGGCCCACTGTTTTCAGGAGGTGCATGCCCAGCCAGCATGGGCAAACGCGCTCACCTCGGGCGCAGGCCCTGCAGCATCCATCCTAGAGCCCCAGGTGCATGATTCCAAGCATCCCAGACTGGGAAAAGTCCCAGATAAGTGAGAGGAAGAACTAAGCTGCTCTGGGTGCAGGCCAGAGAGCCAGGAGGTATGTTTTCCCTCCTCATCTTCCTCCATCCTGTGGCTGAGTTCTGACAGGGCTCTCTGCCTCTCTCCCTGCAAATCTGTCCTCTTGGATATTGAGGGTCTCTGGAGGCCAGGCCAATAGGTGACTAGACCAGGGCCACTCTTTTATTCAAGCTTCCTTTAGGTGAGATCTGCTCTTCCAGACTTAGGTCCCCTTTACCCTCAAGAACCTCCACACTGAACCCTCCCCTTTGGGGCCACCTCTGTCCAGTGGATATGCCTGAAACGGGGACAGGAATTCCCCCCAGATTGCATAATAATTCTCCTGCTCCTGCGGTGGGGCAGAGGGCCTAGGGAAGAGTGCAGGGTGAAAGACTGGCAAGGGGGCTGAGGAGCCTGGCAGTGAATTCTGCCGGTTTGCAAAGAGAGATCCACTTCCTGCACAAACTCAGCGCAACTCTAGAGACCCACTGGCTTCCCTCCACCGCTGTCCCTCCCGCAGCACTGCCTGCAGAGCACCTGCAAAGCTGTGTTAATGGGCGGCCTTCATTCCGTGCCCTGGAGGGACTGGGCTAATGGCTTTTCTTGTATCTTGCTCAGCTCTGGCTCCAGTTTAAGGCCTTCCCCGACGGCTGTCTTTGCCCAGTGCAGTTATTAGAATGCACTGCCTGCTGTAATGGCACCTCAGCTGGTTGTTTTCCCCACATCCAGGAAGGACTTAGAGTGGGCTAGGAGCAGAGAAGGGTGCGGCATGTCTGCCTAGACTGCCTGGCACCACTGTGGTCCCACCTGCTGGGCCCCCCAGTCCCTACCGCTGGTCCACATCTGCTGTGTGCCTGGGAGCCCAGCTCACCTCTGAAGTGCAGCCAACAGCACCTGGTCCCCCCTCTGAGCCTAAAGGGCACACAGAGTTTCCTAGCCAGGGGCAGAAATGGCTCAGGGTGCAGTTATTCAGATCAGGCATCTGGGCCCCATGGGCCAATGCCACTTTACTAACCAGCCTCCAGCTCTCCGAGGAGAGAGCTGAATGACAGGGCTGGGGGCTGGGGCTGGCAGAACCCTCCAAGCCTTCCTAGTGCTCAAATTGCTGGTCTCGAGTGCTTCTCTGTATGCCCCTGTCTCCCATGACCCCGCCTCTCTTACGTGCTAGGCCCAAAGCAGGAGCACCTGTTTGTGGATAAGCCAGATAACCAAGAGAGCAGCACAGAGACAGGGAGGTGGCAAGGTGGGGGAAGGTCTGATCCCAAAGCAAGACCCTCGCTTTGGTCAAGGGCAGAGCCTTGCCCTGCAGAGTCATAGGAGGTCCACCTTCCATGGACAGGTCACAGGGGCACACTCAGGACTGGAACTCCTTGTCCTGACTCTTGCCACCCCAAGTGATCTCACAAGCTATGGCTCTGCCTCTCATGGGGTGGCCGTCCTCTACCTCCTTACGCTGTGATAGTGGCCTGTCACGTGGGAAGGATCCCACACCAGGAATCCAGAAGCTTGCTCCCCAATCCCTGCCCTGTACCCATGCCATCTCCCCTTAAGGAAGACGCTTGTCCTCACTGGGCCTCTTAGCTTTCCTTTCGCAGCCCCCGTGGGACAAGGAGGATGGGGCCTGGCTGATCCCCAAGGCCTGTGCTTGGCAGGAAGTCCGCTACCCTGTCCCACCATACCTGGTTTGGGTTGTGCTGGACCCACTAGGCCCTGATTCTCTGTCTCTCTCTGGCCAGTGATGAGGACAACAAGCCCCTGCAGGGCAGCCAGACGTCTCTGGACGGAACCATCAAGCAGCAGGAAAGTGACGACAGCCTGGTGGACTATGGGGAAGGCGGCGAAGGGCAGTTCAACGAAGATGGCTCCTTCATTGGCCAGTACACGGTCAAAAAGGACAAGGAGGAAACAGAGGGCAACGAGAGCTCAGAGGCCACATCACCCGTCAATGCCATCTATTCTCTGGCCTAACGGAGCCCACCCGGGCACAGCCACTACTTTATAAGTGGGAGGAGGGGAGAGGGGGAGACGAAGCCACTGCAGACCGACCACAAAGCCTCCACCACCTTCAGGGACAAGGGTACAAAATGGGGGTCTGCCAAGCTGTGAGGATCAGTGGCCACCCAGCTGCCCACAAGCCCCCTCCCAATGACCCCCCACAATCCCTGGGTGCCACCAGTGTGGGAGAGCTAGAGCCGTGACTAAGCTCACCTGAGGGAACCCTGGTCCCTTGCCCCATCTCGCAGCCACCCTGAGCATCCATCCCACTGCCCGCCTGGGCCTCGGCCTCGGCCCACACCCTTGCCCGGTCCTGTCGGTTACCGTACTTTCATTGACATTATTTTTGCTTTGTGCATCTTCCAAACCTCCAGACCCAATGTTTCCATTTTCTTTTGAAGATGTGTTCCTGGAAAAAGAAAGAATAGGTGGATTCTCCCCCCAGGAAACCACAAAGAGACGGAAAGGACGGATCCCTAACAGAACGTAGAGAAGAGCCGTAGTATTCAAACCGCCGCTGGGCCAGCACGTTTCCGGAGGATGCCTTTCTTTGCCATATTGTCCCCCACCCTTGCTCCCAACCCATCTGCCTCTGTCTTGTCAGTTGCTGAGCTGGGCTTGGCTCCTTCCTGGAAAATGACAGTATTTTTTGGCAGGGAGAGGGTGGGCAGTCGCCTCGCCCCTCTCTGGTTCAGTTAGGAGGTGAGTTTACCTCTGACTCCTCGTTCTTACCCTGCCCCTGCCTCCAGAGTGTCCAAGAATGAGCTGCACTGACTTTGAAGGAGAAGCTGGAGGCACAGGAGTGGACACTGATGGTACGAACTTCAATTGCAATGACTGGACCTCAGCAGAGGAAAGTCAGGGGTCTGGTCTCTTGGGAACTGTGAGCACCTCTGGAGAGAAGCAAAGGGCTGGGTTTGGACTCCTTCCTTCCCATCAGTGAATACAGGGATGTAGGAGAGAGGACCACACCCACCATGTCCAGAGCAGAGGGCACCCGCCCACCTGGCCAGGGTCTACGCTGCTACCCTCAAGGAGAAGGAACCCTGCAATGCAGAAGCCTTGCTGGTGTGTTCGGGGGTGTAAAGCACCACCCTCTTCCTCCTCTAGCAGATGTCGGTCATCTCCTTGGTCAATTCTGTATGCTGTTGAGACTCGTATTTGACGTGATGTGTGGGTGGAGACCTGCTACCCCGAGACTGAGCCTGTCTGTCCTTTCATTAGGGTATATATACATATCAGGGGACCCTGTGGTGGCGCCGTGCTAACAGTGCTGTGATGCCCCCATCCAGAGAGGACTCAGTGCTCTTCGTATGCCTTATGCAGTTCTGATCTGTCCCTGGAGTTCCCAGGTTCCCAGTCCCTCCCTGCAAGCCTTGAAGCCTCCAGTGACGTCTGACTCGGAATCAGGGCAGCCTATGCAAGTGTCCCTGCAGGACCACAAGCAGCCAGTCCATACACACCCTTACCCCGTTGCCCACATGGAGACTCGCAGACCTGCAATTCTCAGACCGAAGGTGCTGCCTTCACCCTCCCCACCTAATTCATTTTTGAAACCAAAGGTACCTAGCCTCAGTGATGCAGAGAGAGGGAGATCTTGAGCCTGCGTGTGCCCCTGTCACTGTTTCTGTAGCTCAATCGGTTTCAGGAGGGTGAGGCTGAGCCCCAGGAATAGATCACCTGCTACTGACGCAGCCTCCAGTTTGAGCCTCCAGCTGCCATCCGGGGGCCTGGAAAGTACCAGGGCCGTGTCCTTCGGAGACTTTATTAAAGCATCATTTGCCACATGTTTAAGCCACAGAGGTATTAGCAATGCTTACATCACTTAATAATCATTCAGCTGAAGGTCAAGCTCATAGGCATACACGCACTCTGTCTGCAGATAAGAAACCATAGCCCAGAGCTGAGCCAATAATGTTGTTTGAACTAGAGAGTAATGGCCCTTTGGCCCAAGCTGCCTCCAGGTCTGCTGCCCAGAGGCCTGAGAGGCAGCTCTCTCATGGTGAAAGGGGACAGGGTAAAGAGAAGGGGACTGGGGATGAGCTCAGGGTCATGTCCCCTGGCTCTCTTCCAACTCCTGCTTGGATGCAACTGGGCAGTCCTGCAGTCTAGACCCACTGTCCCTGAAGGGAAGTGTCAGGGACATGTACCTGTGAGCTGAAACAAATGACCAGCCTTTCCAGAATATGCTTTGGACCTGAGCTGAACAGTCAGTTTCTCAGGCCCTCACTTCACCCTGCTTTGTCCATGCTAGTGAGCCCATTCCCAGAGAGAAGGCCCTAGGGAGCAAGAGGCTGTTCGATATCACAGAGCCACCTCCTCACCTCTGGAAAGTCTGTTGCACAAACCAATGGCTTTGAGGGGCTTTCTCTATCTGAAGGGTCTTGGGGAGAGGTCAGCTCAGGTCATCTTTGCACCTTCTTCCAGTGTCCCACCGTGCTCTGTACCATCATCCTCTGTACTATCGTCCTTTGCTGTTAGTGCCTCTCTCGGGCTGTTGTTTTGTGAGTGCTGACAGCTGCCCCCCTACACCACCACCACCACAAGACCATAGCAGGAGCATTTGGGACTGAAGAACCGCTTTCCCCAAGCAAAGATGATGGGTGCTCAGAGAGCTCAAGACTGGAGGTGTGTGGGTGGCAGGGCTAAGGAGGCATTCCTTAGAGGAAGAGGAGAGGCCATTTTCTGTAGCACCCATGCCGGTCCACCCAGCTCAACAGGAAAGCAGTATTGCCCAGCACTCCCTGCTAGCTGGGCCTCTCAAGCAACTGCCCAAAACATCCTCACAACAACGCCAGGAGCGGGCCCTACCATTGGTGCTTCAGCCTCTCCGGGTGGGGCAGGTGGTCATCTTGCAGTGGCTCTAAAAGTTCCATTGACTAGAACTGCCATCCGCCAATGTGCTCAGCCACAGTGCTGTAGCTGCCTGAGCGCTCGTCTGCCCTCGTGTCCATTCATCAAATACTCTTTGAAGATCCAGTCGGGCCAATGCTTGAGCCTTGAGTACCAGGTGAAGCAGGTCAGGAGTGGTCTCAGCCCTTGCAGGACTGACATGACTGGAACCGTCTTGAGGCAGGAGCCACTGAGTCGGGAGCAATCTGCCTTTCATTGCTCAAGCCTCTGATGGCTCCAGAGTGGAAGGGAGAAGTTTCCAGGTCTTAGTCCAGCTGGTTAGAAAGACCATGCAGGACGGGGCAGTCAAGACCCGCTGGGTGGGGCAGAGGATCAGTCCTGCTTCTGGACCCTCTTTGCTCTGCCCCTTGGGGCAAGTTGCTTAACCTGTCTACTCCTGTGCCTGTGCCCCCATTCGGTCCCTCCTTTTAATACCTCTCTGAACAGACGACAGGGGTCCACCTGAAGAAACACGGAGGTCAGGGTAGCTGCCTCCTGCCCTGCCTTGTTATGGTGAATAGGGCACATATTTCCCAGTCTTGCTTTTGAAGAGATGGCTGAGTTGACGCTAAGAGGAAAGCCAGACCCACCCCTCCCTGTCCCTGCTCTGTCACCCTGCGAGGTCGGAGACATCTGGTCTACCCGCTTGCTGGCAAGTCCTGAGGTCTGGAAGTGATAAGAGTGAGCCAGTGCCAACATCACTCATCCTACAAGGTGTGCCTGCACCGTGGGCCCAGATGGTGTGCTCCTGGTTTCCCTGACCACAGTTAGTGTTGGGAAGGGAGTGCAAGCAGATCTGCAAGGGTTTGTGGGGTTTCTAGCTAAGAGACAGCTCCCTGCTACTGAGCACCCACATGTGCTCACATCCATACAGCAGAACTGTCACAGAGCATTGCCTCCAGCAGGATGCAATCCAGGTCATTGTCCTGGAGAGAGTCAGTCCCTGCCCGGGCTCCTGTGAGATGAGCTTCAAAGGGCTGCGTGTAGGCATGGTGCGCAGCCTGGGGGAGGGGAGAGGCCCTATTTGGGTGACTGCTATGGGCAGGACCTAGAGACAGAGTGATCCAAAAGAGAGGAAAACATTCCCCAGGAGCTGCAGCCTTCAGGGCACGTCCTGGAGGCCAGCCAAGTCTTAGGGCATTGCCCTCAGCCTTTGATGGAAGGAGCAGGGATTCAATGCATTTTTGTCTCAGCTTTTGTGAGGTTGATAATCTGAAAGGGAGAAATTTCTCAGGCTTCCATGGGCTGAGGCTGGGACCAGGACTGGGGCCAGGGACACTTCTCAGTGGGAGGGCAGCAGCTTCCTGCCTGGTAGGTCAGCCAAGAGCTTGCTTCCCACTCGTAACTTTGGGTGGGGTCCCAAGGCACCAGTCCAACCAGCCTCTGCCAAACCTAAGCCCGTGGCTGTGGTCGGGTCCACCCGGTCAGGCCCACAGAGTGACTTCTTTCTAGTGAAATGAAGGATTCTGCCTGAACTATGTGTGACGGAGTAGCATGTGGGAAGTCACTGATTAAAAACAGAAGACTCAGACCAATAAAGCAAAGAGCTTGAAGTGTAAATGGGAGACATAGGCAAGTTGGCCAAAGCCAGGCCTGGCCAGGCCCCTCCCTTAATAGACAGGGTCACCCTGCATGAGCTCCATTGGACCTGGTGGCACAGTCCAAGCCCAGGGAAGTACACTGTCTTTTGGTCCTTTTCTAGGAAGGGTCCTTCCTGGGACACCTTCAGGGGAGGGGCCAAGGGGAAGGAGGATGACCACCCAGAGAAAGCTGTAAGACCCACACAACAGCACCTAAGCCGCCCCGGGAGGCAGGGCTCCTCTTAGGAGTACCTTAGTATTAAATGGATGCTCATGGCGATAAGGGTGGAAATGAAACAGATACCAAGGCGTCTGGCTCAGGATAGTCAGATTTCAGCCTGTGGAGGAATCTCAGAGCTGATCTAATTGAAATGACTCATTGGGCAGACAAAGAAATGAGGACGCAGCCAGGCAGGCACAGGGCTTGCTCAACACCACAGAGCTGGGACGTTTAGGTAGGATTAGGACTTGAACTTGGGCCTTCTGGCTCCTTGTCCAGTG